CGTCCGTGAAGCCTGGGGTAGGAGGGGGATAAAGTCGTGACGTGAAAACATGGCATCAAAGATAGAAAGAAACAAATGCTCCGAGTGTGTGATCGAACGCCGGAAAACGAGGTGACAAAGGAAACAAAGAATGGGGAATATAGCATGGAACACCTCCATATGCACAATGGTTGTAAGGGAGATAAATTACACATCGATCATTTCGGCATCTTCGGCCAAGATCTCGTCAGCGGGGCCCCAGTTACCCTCGAAGACGGTGGCGCCTGCGCGGCGTCGTTGGTTAATAAATTGCACTCCATAGGTCTCCAGGATTTGGTCGGCCGTGGGACGGTGCTGAGGCTCGGGGGTGATCATCCAGCGGACGATCCCATCCAAGGCCTGTGGGTGGTTGGCATCAACCATGAAACTGGGCGGATCTACTAGCTCACCACTGCGTGCAATTCGCTGTGGTTTGGGCTGGTTCAGTTGGCGATGTGTTAGGAAATCGTCGTCAAATCCGTGGTCACCAAGTTCCGAGGTACAAAGCTCCTCGAAGGAGGATCCATCCGAGATAGGGTTGCCAGTTGCATCACGGAAAATACTGGTGGTCTCCGTGCTCCAAGTCAGGCTGGGGACATCACTGATGTCACCATTCCGGAGCTTTTGCCAGGATACTCCGTTGTCTGGGAGTTCAACATTTCCGGCGATCTCAAACATGATGAGACCAAGGGAGAAGATGTCGGCGGGTTTGTCGAAACGGCCCATAAGGATTTCGGGTCCAATGTACTCGCGGTCGCCTTCACCCTCGATGCCCTCCTCTGCAGGCCAACGTGCGGCCATGCCAAAGTCGCCAATCTTCAAGGTACCTTCAAAGGTGACCAGAATGTTGGCAGGCTTCAGGTCAAGGTGAATGAAACCCTCGTCATGGATCTGCTTCAGCCCTAGTGATAGCTCAAGTAGAATCTTCCAAATACGGAAGTCATCAAGTCGAGCCTTGAGTCCGGCTTGGGCCAAGAAACCATCCAGACTGCCCTCCTCACAGAACTCTGTTTGAATGTAGAGATGACCATTGTTTTCCCAGCTGTCCATGAAGGAAACAACATGATCACAGTTGGTTAATGTCTTAAGAACGTCCACTTCGCGGATACGACGTTCACGGTCCTTCAATCCGAGGTATGGCTGCTTGCTCTTCTTGACAGCCCATACCTGATGTAACATAGAGCTCGGCGACTTGGGCTCGCTTGACGGAAGAGAGAAGACAGAAGGGAAAGAGGCATCGTGAGGCTGTGCAACTCGATACACCTGAGAAAATTCACCGGTGCCGATAAGCTCGACGCTGTCAAAGCGGGAACTTAGACTCGAGTCCACATCCGGGGCATGATAGCCGCTGATTTGCAGACTGGGACGTCTGAGTGATGACCAAGAGTCACGCGGGCCAGTAGGTGTTGCAGGGAGTTCGTGCTCTAGATGCACAGACTGGTCGTTTGGCACAGAGATCGATAAGCCGCTGGGGTCAGGAGGGAAGAACTGGTCACGAGGAGTGTGAGGCGATGTCTGTAGGAACTTCTCGCGCAGCGGACTGGCAGTCTCAGACAATCGTTCCAAGGACGGAATTTGGTTGGTGGTGGGAGGATAGGTGCGAGATGGCAGGAATGGTTGCTTGGTGGGAGTAGGAGGGAAGTCGGGGTCGTTTAGAGGTTGGCTGTCATGTCGGGACGAGGGCGATTGAGCCACAAGATCGTCACCATCGATGCTGACGAAGCTTCCCCGGCGCGAGGCCTCGGGACGGTTGAAATTGTTGCCAAAAATGCCCATGCCGCGAGCGAAGGGTCCCGCCTTGGGACGCGAGGTAGTGGGAGGGTTGAATGGCGAAGCGGAGACAGAATCTGACTGATGAACCAGACGTGACTTGTCGAAGAGTCGGTCTGTCGGATTCGGGCCAGCTGCGAACAGGTTGACAGGTCGCTTGCATGGTGTATCGGGCATACTCTTGTTAAATCCAGGGCCATTCTCCTCAGCATTGCGGTTCTTTTTAGAGATAAGACCGGTTGACATGAATGCCGCTGGTAGCGGCTTGACCAACTTGTAGTTCTCAGGGGTAGCAAAGTTCTCTGATGAGTCCTCTCGTGTAATCCGGCGCACAGGAGCTGGACGAGTAGCCCCAGCGGGAAGAGATTTAGAGAAATTGAACATTGGACGAGGGTTGTGAACCGGTTCATGCGTAGGAGAATCATCGAGACTTGACCCCGAAGAGGACTGGGTGATAGTGCGAGACAGAGGATGAGCGGCAGGCCGAGATGGTTGAGCAGTGGTAGTATTGACGGGAGGGTTAGGTGCGAAGAGGGGGCTGGCTGGCGGCCGGGGGGAGAAAATGTTCTCGCTGCCCGGCTGGAACAGACTGCTATCAAAAGAGTTGCGTGGCCTAACAGTCAATGGCGTACCAGCTGGCGATGCTTCAGGTGAATCACCCAATGCCCTGGGTCGTCCAAAGAGAGGACGCTCGCCCCGTTGCTGTAGGGTGGAGCGTCTTAGAGAAGATGAGCGCTTGGGAATTGTTGCGAAGGGACTGTGGGGTTGGACTGGCGTGGGGAACGATGGAATATCATTTCCTGGAGATCCACATGGAGTGGTGTTCTCATCATCGTCATCGTCATTATCGAAGATACTGAAATCAGTGGAGAAGGTTGGGGTGTGCACGCTGCGCCGTTTCGCGGAGGGGCTGCCTCGCGATGCCTGGTCCAAGTTCATGATTCCGTCGCTGCGCTTCAAAGGACTGCCAGTCGCGATGGCACCGAATGTCCCGCTTCGTCGCTTCTCAATACGCGACAGCGTTGATCGCGGCACAAATGTCGTTTCCCCTTGAGGAGCAGAGGGAGTGTTGATAAAGCAAGGACTGTCTGGAGTGGTGCTTTCTGGCACGAGATCGTCGAGCGTCAGAGCATTTTCCTCGCCAGGCATCAAGATCGGTTGAGTTGGGGTCGCGTTGCCGCCGTCTGTTGACACGCTAAGAACGCGCTTTGGCGGACTGCGGGGTGACGTGCGGCGACGCATGGCTGGCCTGGAGATTTTCGCACTAGGGGGATAAGGCACGGCGAGAGGAGACTGATGCGAAGATGGGAAGAGAACAAAGTTGTTCTGAGAGGCGCGTCGTGATGGTGACAAGGGAGAGGAGATGTAGGCGGATTTGGAGGGGGACTGAGTACGCGTGTTGAGGAAGAAGTTGGAGCTTTTGGAGGGGGAACGCGACAGCGAGCGCCTCAGTTGACGGATGGCAGAGCTGGCATCGACGTGATGAATCCCCGAGTGTGGCAGATGAAGTGTGCCGCCCGAGTCCCGGTGCGGCGAGAAGGTTGCAACCATGATCGGGGGGAATGTGTCCACGACGTGCCGCGCAACAATATCAGAACGGAGAAGCGCGTCGCGGTTCTCTCACTTTTTCCTCCAGACAGTAGTAGCCTTGGGAGGAGTACTCCAAGTAAGATCAGATGAAAGTGACTTGAGACCGAAGACTCACGTCAACTTCCCAAAAGAAAAGAGGTAATCAGTTGAGTCAAGGATGCCCAAGGAAGGCACGCGCTGGAATGCTGAGGAAGGCGCAAGTGGCAACACGTATAGAAAGGGCTAACCAAGTCACCCACTCATTGCACCTGAGGAATTCACTGTTGACCCTCCCATGCGCCTACGCGGGGAGAGGGCGCAAAACACAACACGCGTGAGATGTTTCACTTTGATGTTCCTACACTTCGCGCGAGTCCCGGAATGTTTCAGAGACACACATTCGCGTGATCAGGGCGATGTTTGGTGTTTTGGTCCTCAGAGGTGTAAGGGGGGGTTCCCGCGATAGTTGGGTCCACGAGGGCGAAGGGCGAGAGGAGGGGTGGGATGGACTGAGTTGGTGTGGTATGTGAGGTATGTGGGAAGCAAGTAGACTAAATCCAAGTGGAGGAAGATCAAGGTGTGTCCGAAGGAGTGGCAATATAGGGAGGGAATAAAGTGAAGAATGCCGACTAATAGAATAGAAGGCTGGTCTCATTAACGCGGAGTCGCGTTGTTGATCGTCGATGCCCAAAGTGGATTAGGGTGACGCGTGAATCGTGACATAAACAAATACTTAGGTAAGCATGCAAAACATCTATACCACCTCACTTGCTTTGGTTAACATCCAGTTTGTTTCTGAATCTCTCTGGGGTTTATAGGTTACATCTGTATTTGCTTCTTTATCTCTTGTTTTCATGCATAGCTCGGATCCCCGGTCCAAAACTCTAGAGGTTATGCGCGTGAATTCGCACGGCCCCTGCAGAGACTGAACGCCACAATCCATATACCCCGTAGCACTATTTCTCATGTTTATTTCCCGCTGTACATTGGGGCACTGCGTATCCCCGAGTACAAAAAGTTTTAAGCTGGTATTGACCACGCGAACCATCGCCCTTGCATGACGGGCTGCCCATGAGCCCACTCACACGCCTTTAAATTCCTCAATCTGATTGATCAGGCGCTGCTCTTGGACCCGGAATGAGCAGGCTGCCGGGTGGTGTCCGAGTGGATGGGCTGACCGGTGGAGGCATATAGCTCAAAGTTTGTATGGGATAGTTATAGCTACGGAGGTCCGTATAAGGTACCCTGTACCCCAATAGTTCCTCTCCCCCCCGTATAGTTGTTCCTTATTGCAGTACAATGTACATGTGCTCCAGCACAATGTCCTTGCACCTGTGTATTCCTGATGGCACCGACCCCGGGATCTGCCCGTCCCGTTCGTGGGTCCCGCCGTCAGTTGTCAAATCAGGACTTCACTTCTCCAAACTCGATACGTTGATTTCTGTAGTCACAACATACACATCAATTTCTCTAAAAAAGCAAAAAAAAAAAATATGCACAGGAAAGGAGATGCCCCATATGAGAAGTCAGAACTCCAGTAACACCAAAAGAGAAAACCCATATACAATCGCCGTGGGAACACCGTCTTCATAGTTCTTGATCTTTTCATCCCTTCCTACCCTCCTTACTCCCCCCATATGGTTCTACAGTTCAAAGCCTGTCACCAACGCGCTCATCTCCCGTCGCATAGCGCCGATCATGCACTCGGCAGTATCGGAGCTCAGCCGACTCTCGGGCGCGAAGAGTCCAAAGTCCAACCGACCATTGCGAATCGCAGCTTCGACATCGATTGTTGGCTGCTGAGAAGTTAGCAATTGCATTAATGACCACTTATCGCAGTTGAATGCAGGAGAATGCAGTCTTACCTGGTAGGTGGTTTGAGTAGCCGCCGTTGGGACGCTCGAGTGCTTGTTCTCGGCTGCACCCGGTGGCGCTGTACCATTGCCATTAATCTGGGTCTCGGTCTGCGTTGCATTGTGCGTGGACTCGGCCCCGCTTAGCCTGGACAACTCCTCGCGTTGAATCGCGGACAGAGAAAACTTTGTGTCGTTGCTAGGCAATTCATTCTCTGGAAGTCGCAGGAAATTGACGCAGGTATCAATGTGGACGCCGGTCCATTCGGCAATCTCCAGGAGAGATACGCCTGAGTATTCCATTCGGCTGATCTCGTTGATTTCATTTTGGATTCTGCGGGCGGCTTCGAGCAGGCTGTCATTGGTGTCGCTAAATTTGTCATCTAGTCGTAGTGGAACGATATTGACAGTTGGAATGACAGATTCCGCCAGGCCTTGGATGGAATGTGATCGATTGGCAAGGTAGAGGCCAACCGTTAACCGCCTGTCAGGCCCCTCATGGTCCGCTGTTCCAGCCGTTCTGAAACTCTGGAGATGGACTCGAGCATAGATGGCTAGGAAAATGGTTTGAATGCTGAGGCCCTGGCGCTTAGCAACCTTTTCAACACAGGCCATGTTGGGTACAAGACCTGGTCGGTAGTATTGTTGCACAGAGCCGAAGCCATCCACTCGCTTTGCTGCCTTATGAGTTGAGATTTGGCCAAGATAATTTTGCCAGAATTGACGCCGAACATGCACGGGCGAATGGACATGCTGGAATGCCACGAGCTGTGAGAGGTCAAGGCCAGGTTCCGACTGGATAACCTCATCTTGACTGCATTGGGCGGCAAGCCTGCTCAGAATATGTGGAAGACTGACTGCGTCATACAGCGCGTGGTGAATCTGCAGAGTTAGCGCCGTCCCCTTCGTTGTCTGACAGGCATGCAGTGCGACCGGCACAGCCCCAAATTCTTTCTTAGAATTTTCTGAAACAAGATGGTCGGGGTTGGAATGCCAGATGATAGGAAGGTGCACGGTCTCAAGCTCGATCTGGATATACGGCACAAGCTGAGGGCCGTGGACAGGGAGGAATGCTGTTCGAAGCATGGGTGTTTGCCCGATGACACGAGCCCAGGCGCTATCAAGTACTTGGCGGCTCAATTGCTGTGATGCCATAAAGTAGAACTCTGGATAGAACACCTCTGGGTTCAAGGCGTGCATTGAAAGGAAGTAGGACTGTCCTGCAGTTGCAGGGAATACCTTCTGCACTTGCTTTGAATTAATGCCATGCGACTGTAGCAGGGTAGTCACATCGATACCATCAAGCGACTCGTAAAGAATGCTCGATATGTTCGTAATTGAGAATTCCCTTTGGCTGTTGTTGGTTGCTTTGGCCATATTCTCGATCGTACCAGCCCTAAGCATGTCGCTGACAGCGAGCTTGATGGACTGCTTCTTGAGAAGGGCAGCGACCTTGATGGCGCTGATACTATCCAGTCCAAGCTCGAAAATAGTTGAACTTTTCTCAATGGCGCTCTCAGGTACATTAGAGACCACCGAGAGAATATTGCGGATCGTTGACTCAACCGGCGACCATTTGGATTGACTTGATGCTGGCCGCAGCGTCCCATTCTCAACACCTTGAGCGGGAACATCCTCGAAAGATGGAAGTCCACAAACACTGACACCCTTATCAATGAACTCGATCGTCTTCTCTGCTGGCTGATCGATGATCGACGAAACGATATCCGCCATTTGCCCCAAAAGCACAAGGGTGTCCTCATCTCCCATTACATCACCTCGACATGCAACACGACCAACAAGCTCTTCCCCAACCCCCTCAATCTCAGCACAAACAGGATATTCAACTCTTGCATCCCCACCAGTGGACTTGTACAAAGCCGACCCAGACCCAGTCTGGGACTCTTCGACCGGTCTCTTTTGATAGATGAAGAGCGTATCAAACAGCGCCTTCGACCCCGTATCCGGTCGTGCGCGTCGAAGCGGGAAATGCTGGTGCTCTGCCATCACGAGCAGAGCCTCCTGTACATATTTAACCAGATCCAGACGCGTTCCATGGAGAATAACACGCATGGCAACAGTGTTCATCGTTGGGAACATCACATGCTCGGACTCGGCCACGTTCCGACCAGACAGGACAAGGCCAAAGACCACATCCAGCTTTTGAACATGAGTGGCAAGGACGAGAGACCAGCAGGTGACCAGGAGTGCTTGGAGAGTAATGCCATGAAGTTTGCAGAACGTCTCCGCTTTGGAAAGCGGGACATAGAATGACTGCTCTGCACGGTGGACGACAGCTGAGTCGCTACCAGCGTGCTCCATTGCCAAGAATGACGCTGGAGTGAAGTTTGATAGCGTCGCTCTCCAGAACTTGAAGGCTTGATCACCAGATGATTCGATGATTTGCTCGAGGATGTCATCGGACGATGGGCGACTGCACTCCTCGCCCGCGTAGGACTTGGCAACATCCTCGTGGAGTAGATTGATTGACCAGCCATCATAGAGAGCGTGTGAAATTGACAAAACAAGGTACCGCTTGTCCCCTTCCAGCGCGATGGTGATGCTAAGCAAGGGGCGGCTCGCGAATTCATGGCGGGCCCTTGAGCGCTGTGTCTCTATGATGGTCTCCACGGATACACCATGCAAATGGACAGTCTGAACATCAAAGCAATTCTCACTGTGAACGATTTGAGCGTAGGACACTGGGATCTTGGGATCCCAGACTTCGACAAATGAGGTTCGGAGTATAGGGTGAGCTCTGACCACTGCTCTCCACGCCTGCCCCAGCTTTTCAATGTCCACTTCAGGCTCAAGTTGGAGAATCTCATGGTTGTAATAATGCTTATATCCAGACGCAGCAATTTCAGCAACCATAGCTTCTTGGATGGGCGTAGCTGGTAGAACCCGCTTAGCGCTCGGAAGAAGAAGCCCTTCGTCTTCGAGGAACTTGGTCAAAGACTTCTCCATTTGGCCGAGCAAAGGCAGTGTTCCGTTCTTGTGGTGGCCATTTGTCATTGAGAGTTGCTTGGTCATGGCCTTCACTGTACGATGACGCATGATGGCGCTGACAGGAAGTTTGACGCCAGCTTTACCCAGGCGCGAGGAGATCTTGATTGCATCGATGCTGTCAAGTCCAACTTCAAAGATGGATGTTTCCTCGCTGATAGACTCGGGCTCCACTCCTGCAAGAGTTGCAATAACGTCACGAATAGTGGATGCCTGAGGAGTCCACTCAAACAGAGCGCCGTTGGTTTGTTCAGAAACTCTGACAGATTCGTGGTGACCGTTAACTTCACCGTTCATCACAATCTGTGCATGGGAGATCCCATTCATCTTGGGCAATCTTTTGTTCGAATCCTGTGCAAATTCAAATAGGATTTGCTCAAACTTGGAAAGCAGCTGCTGGGCATCGTCGGGTGATACCACATTGCTCTTCGCAGCAAGAGTAACCGTCAAATGTTGCTTGTCATTGCGCACAATCTCGAATGCAAGAGGATACTCATGCTGAGCCTCAGAACCAATTGTAGACCAAAGACTTCTTGACAATGACTCATCGTCATCATTCTCCCGCTGGAAAACAAACAAAGAGTCAAAGAGACGCTCGTCAGGGTTCCTCCCGAGCCATTTGACGATATCTCGCAGTGCAGTGTACTGGAAGGGCATCATAGATACCTGATATTCATGGCAGCGCCGCGCGACTTCGGACCATGTCTCCAAGCCGGTCAGCTGGACATTGCTCGGAATGGTATTGAATAGCGGCCCGATCACATCTTCAATGCCTGGGACGTCAATTGTTCGACCTGATGCAATGATGCCAAGTGGTGGTACGATCGAGTAGTGCTGCTGGAGAGTCAGGAGCCAACAAGCGTGGAGGACGGCTTGCTCGGTCACATTCAGGAAGCGGCGGAGATGGTCAACCTGCTCCGTGGCATTGATCTGAGCTTTGTGGAGGATGGCTGTGCTGTCTTGTCCGTTCTCAACCAAATGCCGGTTGTGGCAATCCGCCAAATGTTCTCTCCAGAATTCCTTTGCCCCAGGGTCTTTGCAAAGAGGGCCCAAGTGCAGGACATCGAGGAATCCGGGACATGGCTGAGATGTCTTGTTTTGACTTAGATAGTTACCAGCAACAGATTCAAGGAGAAGAACCAGACTGTTTCCATCGTAGAGGCCATGGAAAATGTTCAGGTACATCACTGATGTAGTTGAAAAACTGATGACTCCAACTTCCCACAAATCGGAACGGAGACTATCAAGTCGGGCTGTCCATTGCTCATGCCGCTGTTTGCGGAGAGTCTCAATTTCTGCCTCCGTCTCGACAGTACCAAAGAACCATGGAAGCTCGTCCTTTTTCAGGATAACTTGGGCATAACCATCTGGAGATGGCGAGAATCGAGCACGCAACATTTGAACTTCTTGCTGGGTTTGATCCCAAGCTGTCCGCAAGGCTTCGAGATTGACAGAGGAGTCAAGCTCAAAGGTGAAAGACGAGCAGTACAATGGTGTATCACTGGAGAGGTAATGGTAGATAATACCCTCTTGGAGAGGAGTGCAAGGCGCAATCTTTTCGACATCGCCGTCAAGGATTCCAATGTGCTCGATGACAGTATGAGAGTTCTTCTGTGCGAAAGCCTCGATATCTTGCTTGGCATTTCGCTGAAGGGTTTCAACCGAGACAGAAGATGGAGTGGCGGTCTGTAGAGCAGAAGCCATTCCAGCGACAGTAGGATGCTTCATAATGATAGAAGGCTGAGCCTGCGAGAACCCAGCCTCTCTCAACCTTCTCGAGAAAGCAATGACAGAGATCGAATCAAGTCCCATCTCATAGATGCTGGACCAAGACGAGATCTCCGTATCAGACGAGCCAATAAACTTTGCAAGAACAGAAACAACTTGCTGTTCGAGCGCATTGTCGGTGGGTAGGTCGATGCCCAAGGAACTCAATTTCTGAATATCTTCCAATGAAAGCTCTTGGTAGATAGCCTTCAGGACTTTCATATCAGCCTTATTGTTAGCTGATAGGGGGAATCGAGTCATTGGGATGATATGTGTTGGCACCATATACCCGGGAAGATGAGTGCGACAAGCGCCCTTGATCTTCGAGAGAAGGACACGGTCGTCATCCGAGGATCGAACTTGGACATCGACATTGCGGGATTTCTTGTCTCCCTTTGTTGACAAGTTGGTGAAGAAAGAGACAAGTTGGTCCTTGGCTTGTTTCGGGTGCGTGATAACAAGAGTAGCGACTTCATTCAATTCAGGCGTAGCCTGCTTGATGACTTCGTTGATCTCCCCAATCTCGAGACGCTGTCCACGGAGCTTGACCTGGTCGTCAATTCGACCAAGGAATTGGAAGCTTCCATCATGTAAGATCCTAACCAGATCACCGGTACGGTAGATACGGTCTCCTGACTCGGGTAGGGTTTGGAATCGCTCTTTCGTGAGCTCTGCTCGGTTAAGATATCCTTTTCCAACGAGCGGCCCCGAGACACAGAGTTCACCAATGCTGCCACGCAGCACTGGCGTCATTGTACCGGGATGAAAGACATATGAACCGACGTTATCGAATTGTGGACCAATGTTCGAGGCCTTGTCGTTGGCAGACATTCGAGGAAGCATAGTACATCCAATGGTTACTTCTGTAGGCCCGTATCCATTGTAGATAACACCATGCTGGCCCCAAGCGTCGAGGATCTCCTGCTTCAAAGCCTCACCACCAGTGATGAAGACTCCCCGACAGAGCGAGGGAACTTCATCTGGGTGGACAAGTTTCGCCAGACTGGGAGTGAGGTCGATGTGCGTGATTTGAAGTTTCTGGATTGTGCCAGGCAAATCCTCGAATAGAAGGTCTCGGGGACACGAAGTGACGCAAATTCCAACGCTCCAGCTCCAGTATTGTTCCAGAACACTGACGTCGAAATGGAAAGATGCGAATTGTAACCACCGGGACTCTTCATCCCAGTGGCCTGCGAACAGCCTTTGGAACGCCAGCATCGCTTGTACGGCATTGTCATGTGTGATCTCACAGCCCTTGGGTGTTCCAGTCGTACCTGACGTATACAAGCAATAAGAAGTATCATCTGGCCTGATTGTCCGGGCGAGCGATACATCAACCGTTGAGATGCCATCAAGTAGGCCAGGCCGATCCAATGCCTGAACATCAACACCCGAGAGATCCTTCAACTCAGATATCTTGGATTCATTGCACAGCAGAACCTTGGTACCGGAATCCTCCAACATGAATTGCTTGCGCGAGATGGGAGCACCGGGATCAATAGCCAGATACGAACATCCTGTCTTCAAAATACCCAAAATGGCCATAGATGCTTCAGGGGACTTGTCAAAGCAAATACCAACCATTCCACCAGGAACAGCTCCCTTAGCTTGCAGGAAATGCGCGATTTGATTACCGCATTCGTTAAATTGGCGATAAGTCCAAGACTTCTTCTGTAAGCTCTCTGCCGTATCCCCGGAAGCAAACTCGAAAGCAATCTTCTCGGGGATCCTGCGAGCGTTGACCTCGACAAATTGATGCAAAAGAGACACTGTGGTTGGAATACGTGCTTCCTTGGCGGGTGTCACTGATAGGAGGTTGCTACCCACAGATGCATGGTCGGTGGAAAGGGCATCCGGATGGAAGACAATATCTTCCAATAATTTGTCATACTGGCCCAGGAGGATGGTGGCTTGCTCCGGAGGGACGATGTCACTGCGGTAGCTCAGTTGGATCTCGAGATCTTTTGAGTGCGGGATCAATTCGATAGAGACAGGATACTAAAGTAAAGTTAGTTTGACGTGAAAAGGCGTGACATTACTAGAAGCGTTCTGTCCACCTACATCGATTTTCGTCTCTTCGTCGACGACATTCCATCCATCAACCTCAGTAGTATCAGAAGTGAATTTCTGGTAGACAAACAGAGTATCAAACAGCGGCTCGTCGCTACCAACCCAACGTTGAACATGAGAAAGCGGCGCGAATTGATTCTTAACCAATAAAGCATTCTGCTTCAAAGTCCGATCCAAAAGATTCCGATTAGGACCCTCGATGCAAAGAGGTGTCGGAACAGTGACCAAACACGGGAACACAGCTTCCTGGGCATCCGCAGAAAGGTTCCTGCCTGAAAGCACAGTGCCGAAAGTTACATTTGATTCTCCAGTATAGGCAGAAAGCAACCTTGCCCATGCAACTTGGCCGGCTGCTTGAAGCGTTACACCGATATTCCGACAGGCACCTTCAAGGGCCTTGCGAGAGTATGTGCAGCGGACAGATGAGCTGCAGAGTTTGCACTTGTCGCTGCGGATGGGATGAAGATCGGGGAACTTGGAGGAGTGGATCTCTGGGCCCAAATCTTGCCAGAAGCCCTGTGCGGATTGAGTCTGATTCTTGCTTTCGAGTAAGATGGGTCCGAGTGTTGCGGTGACTGGAGTAGGTGCGGCCAGTGTTTTGCCCTCGTATACTGCTCTGACATCTGCGAAAATAGAAGACAGAGATTGGGCATCGTAGATGGCGTGCAGTGCAGAGAAATGTAGAACGGTAAGACTTTCCCCGGCCGAAACCTCGATGCTCCAAGGAGGACGATGGAGGTTTTCCAGCACCTGTTTCTCTTGGACACAGGAGGCGGAAGTCTCATACCAAGGCAGTTCAATATTCTCGGGGTAAGTAATCATGGCAAATGGATGCTGCTGATCATGCAACTGAACGAAACCAGTGCGAAGCATCTCATGACGGGCCATCACCGTAGACCAAGCTTTTTTGAGAAGGACTTTATCCAACGGCGTTGAAAACCTCAAAGACATTCGGTTGAAGTACGCATCACCATGAGAATGAGTAAACATAGCCAACATACCATTTTGAACTGGTGTGCAAGGGCGCAAAGCCTGTACACCATCCGAGGAAAGCCCAAACCGTTCACAAACCGATTGCAAATGCTGGCTCTGGAATGATAAAAATTCGAACTCGGCTTCCATGATATTCTTCTCGCTAGAAGTGAGATGAGCGGCGATTTGATCAATAGAGGCAGCCTAATTCAAATTAGACAAAATCAGAGAATAGAAGAGAAGATATTTCAGCCTTGCTCAAGTACGTACCTCAAGAATCTCACCAGAGGTGATCTTATACCCAATTCCACGCAGCTTGGCAGATATTTGAACAGCATTGATACTGTCCAGACCAAGCTGAAAGATGGTTGTGTCCTGGGACACATCGTCCGAGTCGACATCAGAGATTTGGCAGAGAATGTCGCGAACAGCCTCTTCTTGAGTGGACCAAGGGCGAGTCTGACGATATTTGGTCAGGAAGCTCACAGCGTTCGTCCTTGAAGACACTTTCTGCTCAAAAACTCTGGGAATATCTGCTCCCAGAGGTCTCTTGTCAGATGCTTGAGCGGAGGGGTATTGAGTGATATGTTCAACGAGAGCCACGAAATGGGCCGCAATAGTTTCAGCAATGGTCTGAGAGATATGCGACGACTGGAAATGAAGACATATCTGGATCTTATCTTCCGTCTCATCTGGAATGATCTCACAGATCAAAGGAAAGCCCATGTTCCCTTCATCTTGAAGAAGTTCCCAAATTTGGGAATCCAGATCGACGTTACCGTTCTGGAATATGAGTAAAGTATCGAAGAGGCGGGAGCCGTCGCCGAGGACGCGTCGCTGAATGCGTCGCAGTGGACTGAGTTGGTGAGGCAAGATGTCACTATTGCTCATCTGCGACAACTTCATGATATCACTATTTGTCGCGATGGAAGAAGATTTGATTCGGATCGGGAGCGTGTTAAAGCAAGGTCCGACTATCCGGTCTGCGCCATCTATGGGAACAGTTCGACAGCTGAAGACGTTACCAAAGGTGACGTCGGGAGAGTCGGTGTAAAGGGCGAGAAGTCGGGCCCATGCTGCATGGAAGATGTTCAGGGGAGTCACGGAGAGATCCTTGCATTGTTGTTTGAAGAATCCGAAAGAGCTATTCAGGGTTGTGTGGAATTGTTGAGAGGCCGATGCATCTATATCGGTGGAGTGTGTGGGGATAAGGGTTGGCGAAACACCAGACAAGTAGTGGTCCCAATATTCATCGTAAGACCCATAGTCCACGGAGGTCATATAGTCAATGAACCGGTGGAATGGAGTGATGCCTGGTAATTTCTGGCTTGAAAGCGACCGCTGGACCTCATTCAATAGTTGCGCGATACCTTCTCCATCATATAATGCATGATGAATAGAAAGCAGCAGATGTGTCTTCTGGGCACCGGCATCCGTGACGAAAGTCAACGAGTAGGGGAACTGGCCATTGACAGGAGAAAGGCCCTCGAACTTGGACTTGCTCGTCTTGATGACATTTTCAAGTTGATTGTCAGTCGAGGTTCTAATATGGGACCAGGGTAAGGCCGAGCTATCCAGTACGACCTGAGCATATGCAAATCGTTTATCATTAGTTTGCGTGAAACAAGTTCTGAGAATTTCATGCCGTTGCATCATCTGAGCCCAGGCATCTCTCATAGCCTCAGCATCAGTGCGTACAAGAAGCAGGAGATGGTTGAAGTATGCCGAGTGATCGCCAGATTCGGCTGCAAGCATAGCCTCCTGCAGGGGTGTGCAAGGATAAATTTTCTGGACAGAGGCAGCTACAGCGCTGAATTCACCTTCTACTTGATGAATGAAGGTCTCGTCAAACACCGTTGTGGGTTGGTGTACCTCGACCTGTTCTGGCTGATCCCCATTGATCATGGGAGGGATGACTGCTGCAAGCTGGGCGATAGAGCTATGGCGGAGAATTGTGGAAACCGCAAGCCTTCCACAGCCGGCTTCCTGCAACTTTCGTGAGAAGGACACGGCAGAAAGGGAGTCCAATCCCAGTCTGTAGAATGATGTGTGTTTCCGGATGTTGCTTTGTCCAGTGCCAGTGACTGCGGATAGGGCTACCGAAATCTTCTGTTCAAGCTCGGTGAAACTGTTCTCAGCTTCATCGGAAATGGACTTCGGTGAGAACATCGCAAGCTCCTCTGGTTTCAGTTGTTTCAATCGTCGCTTTAACTCGGAGTGATCGGTCTTGTAGGAGCGGGTGATAGGAATTCTGTCGATTGGAACGAGAAGCGAAGGCATGCTCGATGAAGGAAGCCTTGTCCCTAGCTCCTTGAAAATAGTGTTGGTATCATCTTCATTCTGTACATGGCCCGCAGCTTGTTGAGAAGGAATCCAAAATATTGCCAGATGCTGTTGGCCGAGTACCGAGCTGTCCAAAACCATGCTTACAGATCCGCGAACCTTTGCCAAAGACAACATAGCACGGTCGACTTCATCTATATCAATGAGTTGAGTACGGAGGCTTGCTTCGTCATGCTTCCGGAGGAGAATGCTGCCATCAGGAAGTAGCCGGCCGAAATCACCCGTCCTATAGAGCCTCCCGTATTCAGGGTGCTCAATGAACTTCTCTACCTGGGAGGAGTTATAGTTGGAGCGTCCAACTTGATCGCCACCAAAGCATAGCTCTCCAATAGCTCCACGAGGAAGAAGAGCGAACGATTCTTGATCTGCCACAACCATGGCAGATGTGTTCCTCAGTGGTTTCCCAATATTTTGAAGAGATGTTGACGCTTTGACATTGGGGTAGATGGCGCAGACATGAGTGAGTAAGTTAGCGCTATAGGCCTGATAGAGCTCCTTCTCGGCCCAGTTCTGATGAACATTGGGAGTCAGCCCTTCACCTAAAGTCAGCAGATACTTTACACTGGGAACGGATTTCGGGTCAACGAGAGACGCCAACGTGGGTGTCATATGTAGGTGTGTAATGTTCATGCCTTGAATGGCTTGCTCAACATGCTGTTCGGTGGAAATTGAGCACAGTGTCATGCCCGTGTGCCAGGCAAAGAACGATTCAAAGATTGATACTATCAAACGTTAGAAACATAATTCAGGTATAGAGATGTTCATCCACTTACCACCTGATCCAGAAGGAGATGTCAAGAGAATCTTTGACCCAGCAGGCGTTGGGTATACCTCCGAAAGAGCCTTTAGATTGCTCTCTAGGTTGTGACGAGAAATAACAACATCATCTGTGGAGTCACCGTCGTACGTGACCTCAACATAGGCCACGTCAGACCCTTCCTCGACAGTCGGGGGATTGTCATAATGACAAGGATACATCGAAGAAGAAACAGAAATCTGTTGCAAAGAAGGCAGAGAATCCAAATCAAACCTCTGCACAGACTCAGAGTCGACAATGCATAGCTTCGACTCTGCCGTAGAGAGGGCGGAGTGAACAGTTTCTGAGGTAGCATGAGGAATTAGGAGTAGGCCAGCACCAGATTTGGCGACTGCAAGCACGGAAATGAAAAAGTCAACCGAGTTGTCCAGGAGAACAGCAATCAGATCGGTGCGGGTAACGCCGACATGGTGCAAATGATGTGCGAGACGGTTTGCGCGAGAGTTCAGTTCACCGTATGTCACGCTACCAATCACAGGAGTGGTAGATTCCGACCCTGAAAGCATCAACTCGAGCGCTACCCGACTTGGATTGGTCGAGGCTATTGTCTCAACTCCAGAAGCCAGACTTGGGAATGTGACTTGCTCAGCTGCAGCTTTGTTATAAACAGATAATGTCGATAAAGGCAAAAGAGTACAGAGATCCTCAAGCGGAAGCTGGACATTATCGATCAAGGTCGAAGCCACGGAATCGATTTGCTCCAAGAGAAGAGCAGCTTGCTCAAAGGGCAAAATAGACTGCAGATAAGTCGCCCTGGCAAAGACACACTCGGCTCTAGGCTCAAATTCTAGCAAAAGCGCAAACTCTAAGAACTCTGCAGCATTGACTTCTTGGAATGGCGAGGCTTGTTGTTCATCTGACCAAATGCTTTCTTGCCACACGACGGCCGTATCGAAGAGATTGCGATCTAGCTCGATACCAGATGCTTTCTTGATATCTTGCAAAGATAGACTGCCATATTCAAGGGACTTGCGGTTCATATTCTGGATGGCTAGTAGGAGGTCTGTCACGTCTTGCATCTTGTCCAGATTCATACGTGTTGGTAGCGTTCTGATACACGGTCCGAGGACGGTCTCTATGCCTTTCAGGGGGATTGTACGGCCTGAAAAGACGGTTCCAAATGCCACGTCATCTGTGCCGAGATAGGAGGAGAGGATGTAGCAGAAGGCGGCTTGGAAGACTGTCTGTCGACTGATGCGGAGGTGTTGGGTAACTTCGTTGAGCTTTGGTACGGAGATTCCAAGTATGCGAGTGGCTTGCTGGGTATTTGATGGGATATCCGTCTTCCCTTGGAAGTTGGGGAAGTTTGCCGGGCATAGTCCTTGAAGCTGGTCGCGCCAGTAGGCCGAGGACTCTGTTGCTGACTTGTCCAGCTTGTGCTCGATGAAAAAGTTTGCGACGATGTTGTAAGGAGGTCTCGAGGCAAGTTCTTCGCCTGACAAGATGTCACGAAGATCTTTCAGGATCAGTTGCCAGGACCATCCATCATACAGTGCGTGGTGAATATGTACAAGAACCCGCAGTCCGTTCTTCGCTTTTTTGATCTGGACTCTGAAAGGATTCAAGACATCCTGGCCAGCACTCAATGACACACCATAGTCAAATTCTGCTTGCTCACTGATATGCCCGTCAAGATCATTCCAGGTGAACCGACCATACGAGTGATCCTTAAGCCCGATTTCCACGAACCCAGAGCGCAGAACCTCATTGTGCTGAGCAAGTTGAACAAAGGCATGCTTGACAGAGGCTGAACTGATCGAAGGCTCAAATTCAAGCTCGATCCAGTTACAGTATGCTTTGCTGTTGCGCACAGTTTCCAAAACCATAGCCTGTTGGATATGGCTACATGGAACGACCTCTGATACTTGCGAAGTCAACCCCAAGGATTCAACCCTTGCTGCGCCTGCATCCGACACAAATTGTAGAATCGCATGAAGGGCCGTGTGGCTATCTTCAGTGGAGCCAGAAGCTTCTAAGGTGGTGGAAAGCTGCCAGATCCGGTCTACGGAGTCGGCTTCCAACAGGGTTGCCACGTCGAGACGGATTCCCGCATCCAAAAGATGAGAAGCAAGACGAATCGCACCGAGTGAATCAAGACCTGCTGATGCCAGACTTTCTGTAGACGCAAGTCGACGGCCAAGAACATCAGTCACGCATGAGACGATAGCCTCCTCTTTTTCATCCCGGCAAGGCTCCTCATCGTAAGACTGAGCTGTGCTACGGTGGCGCACGAAATCAGCTTCCAATGTCTTGCGGTCGATCTTTCCTGACGGAAGCTGGGGAAATTGATCCACAAGTACAAATTCTCCAGGTATCATGAATCGGGGTAAGAGCTGTCGACAGATGTCTCGGATGGCACGGTCTGTCGTTTCTTGCCCGGTGACTAGGACAAAAGCAATCAAGTTGCCGCCAATAACGATAGTCACAGCGCTGCGAACACCTTCAGTTCTAGTAATAACGTGCTCAATCTCTCCAAGTTCAATGCGCTGACCTCGCAGCTTTACTTGGCCGCTGGAGATTCGCCCGAAACACTCGATGTCTCCATTTGGAAGCATGCGGGCTTTGTCGCCTGTCCGGTAGAGTCGACCATACAACGGACTGTCAATGAAAGCTTTGGTATTTTCTTCGGGGCGGTTGATATAGCCATCTGCCAGTTGAGGACCACCCACGACGAGTTCTCCAATCTGGCCTAAAGGAAGAGTGTGAAGATCCTTGGGAGATGAATCATCATCTGACGGGAGAGACATGATATACGCAGAAACCGTTTTGAACGGCTTTCCAATCATGTTCACGCGATCCTTGGCTTGGAAGTGGGTGGCGGCGGTGCAATGAATGGCTGCCTCGGTAGGCCCGTACATTCCATGAAGAATACCATCTCTGCCTTGCGACTGACCAAACTCATCCACCACGTGCCTGGTGAGCATTTCACCAATAGTCAGAAGCACGCGAAGAGAGGGTGCCGCGGCTCGCGTGCGCAGTAACTCGCCCGCTACTGTAGGAGTCAACTCCGCGGCGTCGACTTTCATGCGGGTCATCACATGAGAGATATCGAGAAGCATGTTCTCTCGCTCTGAGCCGATTAGAGTGGCCCCTCGCATCATGGGGAAAAAGACCTCGAACACGGAAACATCAAAGGTGGGTGACGCGAATTGCAAAAATCTCTTGAATGGGGGTATCAAATCATTATGAGCAAGAAGTGACTGGGTCGCAGCGAGATGGGACACTCCAACACCTTTGGGGCGGCCTGTAGACCCAGAAGTGTACATCACATAGGCCAAATTAGAGGATGTGCATGAAGTGGCACAGGGTTCACTTGTATCGGAGCTGGATTCAAGGTTGTCCACGGTTAAAATAGACAAGTACTCTTTCGGTGGGATCTTCGATGCAAGAGTATCTTGTGTGATCACTACGGATGCAGCTACATCCTGGAGAATGAATTCGATGCGGTCTGGTGGTGCATCGGTGTTGAGAGGGCAGAATGCGGCGCCAGCTTTGAGAATACCCAGCCAGGAGATGTACAACTCCACTGACTGGGGCAGAAGCACTGGAACGACCATGCTTGTACCGTTTGCCATCGAAGCACGGACGATGTCACCTGCCAACTTCGAGGACAACCGGTCCAAGGCCTCATAAGACAAGCAGCGGATGTTTCCTTCCGCAGCAAGGAACTCAATGGCATTGTTGGCATCGTTGATCCCGCATAGTGCTAGCTCATGCAGTAGTCCTGGCCCTGGAAGCGTGGCAGGCTCGCCATTTGTAATAGATAGGGTGGGAGCCTCGGATGCAGGTAACACCAGCTGCATACCGGCACGAGCGGCCTGTTCCTGCACGATATGCTTGAGCTGCTGGCCCAGCTGATGCAGGAATTCAGCATCCATGCCTCCAGTTGCATGCAGTGTCCCCGACTGCATCGTGGGGTCCACCGTCCACAGTAGCACCGAAGGCTGTCCAGACGGATGATCACCCAGCACCACGGCTGTGTGCTTGACTGAGAGACTGGCTACTTCGGCGAGATCTGCTGGAAGCACTGTCTGCGCAGGGAAATTTGCCTTGACGGGATTCCCGTTCAATAGAAAGACCGGGTTTTCATCGGTCGTGAATGCACGCAATAATACAGCCCAGGACATCGCAAGTAGCTCTGCGGGGAGTTGAACATCGACCTGCCATGGCACGACACGGACAGCATCGCCCTCATCATTGACGACAGGGAATTGAGTGAATCGATCCATGACCAGTTTAACTTTTTTTTTTTTGCGTAGGATATCACTCTAGCATATCCGTATATAGTTGGGGACTGCTTATCAACTGCACTGTGAGTGGCTGGACCAAAGGATCTAATGCAGGCGCTTGGTCAAAAAAAAAAAAAGGGCGAAAAGCGGCCCTTTAATCAGATGTCGCTGAGTTAAAAGCGCAAAGCGCGAGGGGGGTAGCAAGATTCGTGATGATCATCAGCGAGCCAAGCGCGAAAAAGGTTGGAGGGGTGCCTGAGATGCCTGAGGGCACCTCCGATCGGTAGGTTCTTAGGTATGCTGATAACTTAGCTATGTAACCCTACAGCTGTCACTATAATACAACTAATATCGAATAGCTCATAGCTCATAGCTCACAGCGTATGCTAATAGCTAATATTCTCTATTCCACACACACATCCTAGAGATGACCATGCCATAGTCATGTGAATTTCTCTCCGAGTGAAACGCAGTGGAGAATGAGCTGGTCATTGTACTAGGGTACTGTATTGGAGTAAACATGTACTGTACTGACACATACATGTATTGAATATAGTGCTTATTTGGTATTTAATCTTTAAGTTTTGGGGGAGCGGCTAATAACAATACATTGTAGCCCTATAGTTAACTTAACTTACGTACAGTAGATATACTGTAGTAGTTTGGGAAAGCCTGTATATTGCAAGATGCCATGCATGTTACATGTATGCAATCGAAATAGGTAGAACAATTACATGTAAGCATCCACACAGATCCAACTGAGCCGGAGCAATTTTCCACCTGCAGGTCAACCCCACTACACGCGAGTTCAATGCGTGCGCCAAGACATAACGGAAAGTCTGTAGAAACACTAACACGGAATGTTAACAGCCACTTATGTATGATCCCAAGACCCAATTTTTCCCGACATCGGCAATAGATGTTCTCTTCGGGTGAATGCGCTATTATTAATGTCCTTGCTCCGGAATGTGTGCAACCCCGACCTGCTCTTGCATATAGCTAGTAACAAGTTGGAAGCCTTATAAATAAATAACAGAATCTCTTCAGAGATGGCGTGAAGAGAGAAAAATAAATATCGGTGGAGACACTGATTGATAATTCATAAGAAATCTTGGAAATACGAAACTTGGCGACTCAAGCGAGTAAGTGAAAAATGAAGATCCACTTGGCTTTTTTTATCTGATCCGCTTAGATTCTTTTCGGACATATGGTACGTTGGGGTGGGCCGACAAGACGCTTTGAAACATAAAAAACATAAAGTCCGCATCCCTGCTCTTTTTTCCTCTCAAAGCTTGGAAGCTCCTCTCTTTAAGCTCCCTCTCTCTCTCTACCAAGGCTCTCCCTCTTTCTACACATTTTGGGTCATGGAGCCTATCAAGTCTGAGCTTCCCTTCTTTAACGAGGTGCCGCGCACTCAGCCTCAGACCGGCCGGTCTCTGTTACGGCCTACCCCAGCCGACGAGATGCACGACCTGCTCTGCGTGGGCTTCGGCCCGGCCTCGCTAGCCATCGGTATCGCCCTGAACGACGCCATGGACCCGGGCCTCGGCGCAAGCCAAACAAACTTCAAGCCCAAGGTCACCTTCCTCGAGAAACAGAACCAGTTCGCCTGGCACTCGGGTATGCTGGTCCCGGGCTCGCGCATGCAGATCTCCTTCGTCAAGGACCTAGCTACCATGCGTGACCCCCGCAGCAGCTTCACATTCCTTAATTACCTGCACCACAAGAACCGCCTGATCCACTTTACCAACCTGGGCACATTTCTACCAGCTCGTGTGGAGTTCGAGGACTACATGCGCTGGTGTGCGAAGCGTTTTGATAACGTGGTTAACTACGGCGAGGAGGTTGTGGAGGTTGTGCCTGGTCAGACTGATGCCAGTGGCGTGGTGGACTACTTCACTGTTGTCTCGCGTAACACGGGCACCGGTGAGATTACCTCGCGCAATGCTCGCAAGGTGGTGATTGCTATTGGCGGCAAGGCTAAGATGCCACCTGGTTTCCCTCAGGACCCCCGTATCATGCATTCGTCCAAGTATTGCACGGCTCTGCCTAAGATGCTGAACAATGATATGGCTCCTTATAACATTGCCGTCGTTGGCGGTGGCCAGTCGGCCGCTGAGATCTACCACGATCTGCACCGTCGCTACCCCAACTCGCGGACCACCCTCATCCTCCGTGACTCTGCTCTCCGTCCTAGTGACGACTCTCCCTTGTTTGTCTTCCTCCTTTGATTATATCAACCCAGCTAACCAATTTGTTCCTAGTGTCAACGAAATCTTCAACCCCGAGCGCGTCGACAAGTTCTACGGCATGTCCGCCGACGAGCGCAAGAAGCGCATCGCCACGGAAAAAGCAACCAACTACAGCGTCGTCCGTCTGGAACTCATCGAAGAAATCTACAACGACCTGTACCTGCAGCGCGTCGAGAACCCAGACGAAACCCAATGGCAGCAACGCATCCTACCCGAGACCAAGGTCGCCCGCATCGAGCACCACAACCCCAGCAGCCGCATGCGCATCCACGTCAAGTCGGTCAATAACGAGACGGAGAGCAAGGAAGTGCTGGATGTGGACGCCTTGATGGTGGCCACGGGTTACCTGCGCGATGCGCATGAGGAGATGCTCGAGCAGGTGCGCTCGCTCCGGCCCGCCGGAGCCACGGCGTGGAACCCCGGTCGTGATTACCGGGTCTCGTTGGACGGTGCCAAGGTCAGTGCCCAGGCTGGTATCTGGCTTCAGGGTTGCAATGAGAAGACCCACGGTCTGAGTGATTCTTTGCTGTCGGTGCTTGCTGTGCGTGGTGGCGAGATTGTGGCGTCCGTCTTTGGCGAGCAGTTGGCTGGCGCTAGCTTGGTGCAGGACACCCGGTTGCGCGCTATGCTGTGAACCCTTGAGCGATTGTCGTTTCAGATCGACTCCTTTTGGAAGGGATCCGAGAGGACATTAAAAAGATATTTATCAAGGAGAGCTACGGCAGAGTTGCTCTCCACGGCTTTGTTTGGTATATGATTCCCCCTTAGTTTTGGGTGAATATTAGATTTTCCCTTACATTGATTTTGCATTAATGACAAGCTATTTCTTCACTTCACCTCTCCCATGTACAATGTATTATCAGCTCGAGATCTTCAGGGACTGATCAACAACATCGTGGCCTGACACAGTGGTAACGAACGTGAGCGGTTCCAGTCCAAGTAAAAGTCGGCCGCAAATACCACGCCAAGCGCGCGAAAACTGGATCTGAAATTTGACAAGCCGATCAGTAATGGAAAGTGAGCCTAGGTTAAGAAGCAATTAGAATCTTGGCAGTCCAATTTCCTTTTTCCCTGAATTGATCAAATCAGATAACTCGGAGTGGGTCCTGCATGGATCAGATAACTGAAAACTTTTTATCTGATCGGAGAGACTAACTCGGGGAATTGGGAAATTGGAAAATTGAGGAATTGGGCTGAGACAGACATTTCCAAGATTGGAAAATTGGGCTTGACCGTAAGTTAGCATCCTCGTTTACAATCGTATCTGGAAATCTCTGGACTTAGTGGGGTGGGAGGCTATTGCCCATCACCTGCCTAGTTGGTCCCTTAGCGAGATATGGAGCCCCGGGCTTACGTTGTTCGTGTGGGAATGTATGTATGTACATGTATGGAGTACAAGTATATTGCTTATTATTTCACCCGCGTATCGTAAATTTCCCTTTCTTTTCTTTCTAATTGAGTTTCCACACGCGAGTGCATGTCCGGTACGATGTAGACTAGAGCCTAATCCCTGTCGAAGGCACACACCAATCCACCCAGCCCACTTGACCCGAGGTCGTGTAGGGTTCCCGAAGCCGAGATTAGATCCTTTGACGGACTCTGTACATGTACACATGTAGTAACGTCATTCGGCGACATCGGATGTAAGTGGAAACCGCAATATTCCGAACTGCCACCTCGGAGACACCGTTCTCCAGTGCTCCAGGCTTTTTTCTTACTCCATTCGCTGCCTTGCTCAACTATGGATCCATACCTCATCTCGTGTAGTGCTCCATAAAGGGGAAAAGAAAAGATCGGGGCTGGGAGCTGTGTTAGGTAGGTGACAACTCAAGGTTTTAGGCTCGGCATACCTCGCGCTAGTTGGGGGCCCTGCATTGTTTGAACGGTGTATCAGATCAGGCCACCCTGGAATCTAAGGCTGGCTGAGTCAATACTTCCCTTGCGCAACTCATCTTGGCTACATGTACTCCGTACTCTTTTTATTTTTTTCATTTTATTTTTTTGACCCCCTGTTGCTAGCCTGTGGGATTTGCCACATGCAATGCAGAATGGGTAGCTACAGGATACAGAAGTACGGCCTAGGCTCCATGCGAGGCACTTGTATGGAACTTGTATGGTAAACTGCAATGCAGTCAAGATGTACTCCGTGTGCCACTTGCTCATGGGCCAATCGGACCCCTTCGGACAAGACAGCAGTTTTTTGCTATGTTTCCAGAAGGTTGGAACGTCCAGGCTCTGTGACAAGGGAAACTATCTTATCTGATGGTGGGGAGATCGGAACTGTACATATTAGGTTGCAAAGATATCATTAATGTCTGACGTCAACTGTACAGGTCTCTAAATGCAAACGTTCGTGCCACGTGCCTAATAATGCAACACAGCGATTTGCTGGATCATATGTCCTGCAAATACATTAAAGAGAACGGATGTCCAAGATTGAAATCTTAGACCATGCGTTCGGGGTCCTCAGCTGCAACACTGCGGTAGGTCACTCCGTCGGACCGGCTGCCAGTGTGCATGCGCGTTGGGGGTTCGTACATGTCATGATAGTTCACCATTTCACCACCCAGCATAGCAGATCCAGACTGGCGCTTGCCAAAGAGAGGAGCTGGGTCGCACCAGAAGTCGCGACAGTTGGTGATGACGCCGCGAGAGAAGGGGTTGCGGGGACGAGCGGCTTGTGGTCCATCGCGGAGTCCATCCTTGGCTGTCGTCCAGAAGGTGTCGATTCCAAGGAGGGAGGACCATTGCTGGAGGCAGCCACCTCTTGGGCGGGGTGCAGGGCCGCGGGCAAGGGCTGGGTTGGGGCCGGTGCCGGTGGCGGACAGGCCGGCAGCTTCCATGGAGGTTGTTCCGGCTGTCATTGCGGAGGCAAAGGCTTGGGAGCTTGGGTAGGACCGGTCGATGTGGTGGCCTCGCATGTTCTCGGAGGTGGTCTGGTTGCGGGAAATTTGAACCAGTTGGACGGCGCACAGCATCGTGACCCAGACCAGCTGGAGGATGGTCCAGATGGTGAGGACCAGGGTGAAGGTGTCCCGAGAGAAGTAGTCACACAATTTGTCATTGATGACACTGCAGGTAGCGCCGGTAGGGGCGGGAAGAGCGGTGATATCTGGTTAGGGTTAGTTAACGATCCGGCTATATGTTATTTTGAACCACTCACAAGCAATCGTCAGCTGGACAAACAGGATGATACCAGCTTCGAGGGAGACGATGTATAGAACGAAATGACGGAGGTTGTTTGATCCCACGCAGTTGTCAATCCACGGACAATGGCTGTTCAGTAATTAGTAAACACATCGACAGAGATCTCCAGGTCAAACACATACTGATCATGCTTCGCAACACACCGCCCACAACGACGGCAGTGCTTGCTTCGGAGTGGCTTTCTTGACATGCAGGGAATACAAAAGTTCTCCTCGTCAAACTTCCACTGCTCGAAGAGCTCCTTGACAACCTCTCTCTGTTGATTCCTGCTGCTGAGTTTCGGAACATAGCCCGGGTCCTGGACCATAGCGAAGACATAGAAGTAAGCAGTTAAGCAGAAGAAGACTGCGAACAGAATGTTCAGAATCGGGTTAGAAGAGTACGTCGCTGGCAGCACCTTGAAAGCATAACGGAAGCCGACCCAGAACAATGTAGCTGCGAAGACACCGGCGAGATATGGCGTCTTTTGCAGGATTCGGTATTCTGAAGGTCCTTTGTTCGCCACCTGCTGTGCGATATACTGCATACCAAATACGGTCACCAATACAACAGGCACACCAATGAAGATCGCCAGGTTACTCAACAACCAGATAGCCAATAGGATAGTCAAGAAGGGCCAGAGAAAGAAGAACTTGGCCATGAGGCTCTTGTTCCGCACGAAGCTCGACATGCCAAAAGGCACCACCTTCTGGCTGCCATCGGGCTCATAGCCACGCTCGTTGAGCGAGCGGTACCACACCCGCAAAGTGTTCATTTCCTGCGCCACAGTCGCGGGGGACTTGCCATCCTGGGTCTGGGCGAAACGGTCGGCGCCAAATTCAAGCAGTTTCAGGACACAAGGCATAGAGCCCTTCACCAGCGCCCAATGGAGCGGTGTCAAGCCACCTTCGTCCACGGCGTTCGCATTGGCGCCCCAGCGCAGGAACAAGTCCACACAGGCGGGATAACCCTTGTACGCGGCCCACATCAGTCCAGTATGCCCTTGTTGATCGACAACGTCCACGGGGATTTCCTGGTGGAGAAGCAGCACAACCAGGAAAGCGTTGCCGTCAATGGTCGCGAGGTGGAGGATGTTGTACCCTTGCACATCCGTCAAAAGAGGGTCTCCGCCATTCTGGAGCAACAAGTTGACAATGTAGTAATGGCACCGCTGTGCTGCCCACATGGCTGGCGTCGCCACTGACTCTCCTCCCTTGGCGTTGACATCGGCTCCGGAGTCGAGTAGGAACTTGCACATCGCATATTGGTTGTTGATAGCGGCCCACTATAAAGAGAGAATGCACGGTCAGTAAACATGGTTCCAATGTTACGCAGGTTGCGCAGCCTCCATCGAAGAACGAACATGTAACGGGGTGATCCCCTCCTCGTCTCGGTGGTTTGCGGTGAACTTCTTGGCCGCAAATAAGTTCTGCATGGCGCCAATCTCTCCCATCCGAGCCAGCTGCATCACATCCTCTCCCAGAGGAATTGAGCCCTTCGGGGGATCAGATCGCATGGGCTTCATCTCCACTTCGGTGTTCGAGGGGCCATTGGAGGCTGACGTGGATCCGGAGTTTTGGCCGGGGCTGGGGCCCCGGGATTCTGACGGGGAGGTTTTGGAAGACATCTCTGTCTAATAGCGATTATGTCGGAAACGGTAACGAGGGACGCTGAAATGCTGTCGGTAAAAAGGAGACGGAATCGATTCGGTACTGTTCAGACACGGTGATCTAAGGGAACATCGCGAGTCCCTCGGCGCATTCACAGAAATTCAAATAATTAAATATTCGGTGAACAGAGATGCGAAACGGCGAGAGGTAAATGCCGAAGGATGTCAAGTCGACAGGGCGGACTCTTTTGGGATGCGGTAACGTTTTGCGGAGACGCTAAATGCTAAGCTTCCAGACTCCGACACGTCTCTCCCTACTTCAGGTACATACACACACTGTACAGAGGGTTGATGGCAAATTCAAACTGGCAAATGTGTTCCAGTGTTGCGGATCAAAAGGTCCACGGTGTTGTCGATTACTCAGCCACATAGGCAGCCACATTTCGGCTTATTTTGGGTTGTCGCCCTGTTGATCTCAGCTGCCGACTACTGTGGAGATCGCAGGGCTCGATTTTATGTGGCACTGAGTCTTCTAGTTCAAAGAGTGTCATTGTGATATTCACTGTTGTCTCTCGCTGTTCTAGTTGAACCAACCACGTATTTACTGTAGCCATGCTTTATACTTGCAGCAATAGATCATGGAAGGCAGTATAAAAAGCCAATCGGCAGGGCTCGATTTTATGTGGCACTGAGTCTTCTAGTTCAAAGAGTGTCATTGTGATATTCACTGTTGTCTCTCGCTGTTCTAGTTGAACCAACCACGTATTTACTGTAGCCATGCTTTATACTTGCAGCAATAGATCATGGAAGGCAGTATAAAAAGCCAATCGACGTATCAAGTTAGCCATTCGTTTAGTTGAGGATATTTCGCACATTACAGACTCCGTACTGGGATTTCTTTCTGATTGGTTTGTTGGGCTTTCTAGTGTAGTTCTCCGTTCATTGGCCTGGTCAACCACACTCGCCCACCAGCTCCAAATCCCTAATGCCATCTGAAACATATAGACTATTGTCAGGAGATCAAATTGCTCTTTAAAGAGGTTCTAGACCACAAGATTCCTCAATGGTGAGCTAATTTGACTGGAGTGTTTCATCTTTATCCTATAGATCTATGTTGACTAACTTATTACTAGAACAGGAGACTATAGCAAGTTGGGTATATAGTAATGTGGGGATTTTAAACACAAGGTGAAGATAGACAAATCTATTGATGATGTTGTAATGTATATAGAAAAACAGGCTGCCTAAATAAGTTCTACGCGATAGATCTCATTGTGTCGCGAAATTGCCTCTCCCGAACTCCCCACCTTATCGGGCCTCCACACCATCCCCAAAACAACAAACATGGGAGACACCCTTACCGACAGCATCCTTTCAATTCTTAAAGAGCGAGATATACTCGCTAAGCGCGATGCCATTAAGTCCGCGTTTGACGGCGCTTCTGGCGACACGGAGTGGGCAGTGAAACACCTCCGACCCGACACCCTGCTATCAAAAGAGGAACTGGCATTGTATGTCTCTGATTATTTATATTGCAATGACATATTGGGATGGAAGCTTTCCTGCTATGATATGAGTTAGGTTTTGGCATGAGCTTCAAAGCTAATTTGAACATTCAGATACTCGAGACTCGAAGCCTCCGGTGCTCTCCAGCCCTTCCTCCGCAACCCCGACCTACCTGCCACACGCCCTATTCTCGAAGATGACCTCCGAAACGCGATCGAGTCCCTCGAGACCTCTACAGCCACGGTTCAGAAACAGACGGAGACTTTAAAGTTCCAGTGCGACATTCTCAGTAAGCAATTGGGACTAGCGAACAACTTAGAGCAACAGCGAAATCGGGACGTTGCTCGGCTGCGAAAGAAGCATGAAGGAGGGAGACAGGATATAACAAGGGCGGTAGGTTGAGATTTGCTGCGGCATGTGGGAGTGTATTTCTGACTCTGCGCAGGCTAGTGAGCTCTCGGACGAACTGGAGGCCAATTTCAGGAACGCGATAGACAAGTCGGGCACGGAAAGCAAGAGAATTCTGGCATCTCTGTCGACCCGGCTAAAGCAGGATGACAAGACCCTTGCTGGTTTGGAGACACTCGTGTCTGGTATCAAGTATCGTGGCAATGATGCATCCACGGTGACGCGTACGAATGACCTGAGTGCCATGCTGGCAGACTACGTTGCAGAGGAAATACGCTATCGGCTCGATCGACTCTACTTGGAAGCGGTTCAGGCTGGAGGCACAGTCGCCAAGGCTCCAGCAGGAGAAACCATTGCTGCACTTGAGGAGGAACTCGAGTCACTATACCCGGAGATTGGGATATTGGCTGAGATGTCGGTTAGGCAGCAATTCAACGAGCCCATCCTCAGGGAGATTCAGAACGAACATGGCAAGCTGCGAGTGGCGTCGCAGGAGAGTTTGGAGCAGGTACGGTGTTCCTGCGCATCCGACGAACAAGGAGCTAAGACATCGTTAGGCACTCGACACATTAATCGAAATGACATTGTCCAAGCAGGATTTCACGAAGTACATGGCAGACCGGCTGTCATCTTCGGTGCTGTTGGACCAATTAGCCGCCCTATATCAATCCGAAGCGGGTGAAGTCGTCACACAGCCCTCTTCACGGCGAGATTCACTGCGCCGCCGATCTTTGCAGCCAGGTCTTCTTCTTGCGGCGAAAGCCCCTGTGGCGCCTACGATCGACCAACCTGCCCTAGGAAGTATTTTGCGGCGTGTTGGTGTGATCCCCGAATCTCTGCTCCGGCCAAAAGGCAACGGCGGCAACGGCGGGGTCAGTGAACTTCACGAAAAACAATTTCAGATGTCCGAAACACTAGGTAGTCTCAAGGGTGCAGTCGACTCTCCTTTAGTGGACCACCTATCTCCATCCGACAGCGCATCCCAGCTCCTTCAGTCTGCCTTGACCGCCAGTTGTCATTATGAAATATCCCTACGGAGATCACCCGAAGAACAAGGAATTTCAGACCTCGAGACTGAGATAATGAGGCTACAGAGCGGGGTCCAGGGCCTGAACATGGATGTTCTTCATCAGCGTGACAAGGTCCAGGACAAGGTACTTCAAATGTGGATATAGATACTACAGTGGAGTTAACCCAACCCGGCAGAAGAGGGCACATATTCTATAACCGGATGGTTCGCGTTGTAAATCGTTGGTTCTTAAGTGATGTTGGTGACAATAGCGCCTTTCAAGCCACCAACGGCTGCACACTGACTAGATGATCAAGTGTGACTGTGTGGCTGTGTGACTGTGTGGCTGTGTGGCTGTGTGGCTGTGTGGCTGTTCTCGATCTCTAACACAGAGAAATCTTCATCGGGGAGTCTCGAGGATCGGGCACCTGTTGCGCAGTCAGTATGCAGGTTCAATGAAGTCGTGATGTCGAAGTGTAATTTCATTGGTTTTAAGTATCTTTTCCGCTGCACGCCATATGGGGGCTTGGCTAACGCCGTGCAATTCTTATGTCACACGTCCCCTCATATTGGTGAATAACGCGTATAGATGGATCTATATCAGACTCTTCTCTATATACGTGCCCCTTCCCATGAAACCCGATGGACCTATTACGGTCCGAACCAGGGTCGATGTTGACCTTGTCACCCGATATTGGGCTATTCCCCATGACTTTCGGCCTGCGCCCCCTGTGACTAGAGGCGTATCAGCCACCATATATCATCTTAATAGCTTCAAGTATGAGCTATGCCCCTGTTATGGTCGTGTTGCTGCCTGTGTCCTTGTGAACCTGCCTCGAGTTCATCCTAGCTATAAATGTCTCTCCGTCTCGTGTTTTTAGATTCTATGCTTCACAACTAGTCTTGTCTTTGAGTCTTTGTGGGTTTCTTTCGAGTCGGCTTTGTTCATCTCTATAAATATACAATACACATTCTATTCTCAGCATTCTGTACACACGAAGTACCTGCTTTAGACCTTTGTCTGGGCTGCATCATGTCTTTCATTCGTTTTATCCTTAGACAGTCCTCGAATAGGCAGTTTGAAGTTCGTTCCCCTTCATATTTATTTCTGTCTATTATGGCTGTGTTCCTCGTCAGCTCTTTTATTTGGGTTCATCTTTGTGTATAGAGTCATTGTTCAGGGCCTATTTACTTGGGCCTGTCTCCATGCATTCTCAATGTCGAATATCAAGAAGGGCCAAAAGCTAACCCCATTATAGATGGATTACCGAGCTCATAGATACGGTATCTCTCGACCTCGGAGATACCGCTACTACACTTCGCTTGGTTTCGACTCCAGTGACCACTGGTCGCCGTCACCCTCTCCCCCGAACTTCTCACACGAGAGCGCCGATGAGTTCTTGGCCCGAGGAAAGCGTTTCCGTCAGAAAAACGCTTGTAATATGGGGAACTTTGGGAGTAGAATGACCTTTCCCAGTGGCATGCCATCCACACATAGGCCATACGCACATAGAAGGACCCCCCAATATGTGTATGGAGGACACCCGACTTGGTCTAGGCCCTCATCTCGCCCAGATGTCGAATACATCGATCCCAATACCTACAGGGGTAGGTCATCAGCTCGAGAAAGGCAAACTCAGCCTCGATGTCATTCCTATGAACGGCGTCGTCCGGTCGATGGGCCCGACATTATAGAGAGGGAACCAAAGGGGGCACCAAAGCCGCAAAAGGGAATTCGTGTTGCGGAACCATCCACGACACCTCAAGAAAGGCAGGCTCGCTCACGCTCTCCCGTCGAAGAGAGAAGATCCCCCCGTGCTGGGCGAAGGACGCCTTCGGGTTATTCAACTGGTTCGGGGATCCCCGAGCGAGAGCGAATGCCGTACAACCGGACCCCAGGGTCACCTCATGCGGTAGTGGGTGAGCGCCAACGAAGGCCCTATCCAGGAACCCCATGCTCGCCTTGAACACAGGGTCATGAGCGCCAACAAAGAATGTACGCGCACACCCCAGAGCCAACTCGGACAACACAACGCACCAAGACATGGGTCCCTAGAATGCCTGCCATCGTTCGGTATGGTTACAAGTCCATACATCGCCGAGCTCAAAGAGCATCCTTTCTGGGGCGGTATGGGTTGGGATATTGCGCTTGCCCTTGCAGCGACTGCAGACCTAGAGAAACCACGAATTGGTCTTCTGGTCAACACAATGCCTCTTCCTTGGAAAAAGAAAGAAAAAGAAGAAAAACACTACCAAAAAATGTCAGAAAGGTCAGAAGAAAGGAAGAAAGGAACAAGTGGATACGTTATAAGGGTAAAATGGTGACGCTTATCGGATTGCATCAATATCCCTGGAGAAAAGCATGGAATGGGAGTATAGGAATAGGTATATCTCATTAGGAGTTGTCGGTTAGTGTTATTGTTTAACATGTATATAGAGAGTACCACTTGGTGGTTCCATCAGAGCATGAAAGTGATGCAATGCTGATAACTTATCTTTGCCCCTGGAAACATTCAACTTTCGCAAACCTCGGTAATGTGAGGACTTCAATCTTACATTCACCATTACTCTTCCACTACTGAGTACTTCATACTTCGTACTGTACTCCCCCGCTAAATTCCATTTACTTCCGTCCCTCCTCTCCTCCCCGTGATCAACTATCGCCACGAGACCGCGCACCACACCTCCTATTCCGCGTCAGAAAATGAGATATCCAACTGGGGAGCCATCATCCACAAGGCTCAGGTGCACTCTTTCGCTCGCATTCCCAACCCACGCCGCCTGCGCCTGCGCGCAATGAACGTCCTGGCCAAAATGGCTGCTGTCACACAAACGGAGTGCATGCCCGATGACACAGACGCGGATGCGGACGGGCACGTGAACGTGGACGTGGACGTGAATGCGACTGCTCGCAGGGCGCTTGCCATGCTGAAACTCGACTCGCCCGACAGCAGTGGGATCGGGGACCGCGCTGATCACCCTGCCGCTGATTCGCCGCGGAATGACGCCGCTGCCGTGTTTGACATTTCGCCTGAGGCTGCAGTACACCTGCTCTGTCTTAATATTGAGAAGTTGGGTGCTCAGTATGCGGACAAGCCTACTGGGACGGATGAATTGAATTCGCATAGCTCTACACCGCTGGAAAGTGAGACGCCTGTCGGGGAGGGTCATTTGGAGGTGCAGTCATTTGGATTACATGTGAATGATCCTAAAGATACGCCCAACCCGGCACGCGCCACTGAGGAGGCGGTTCAGTTGGCTATTCTGGCGAAGAAGTTTCTTTCGAAGAAGGTGCCTGCGTTTCCTTTGAAGGAGTATCTGCTTCGGTTGCATAAGTATTGTCCTATGTCTACAGCGGTGTATCTCGCGGCCAGCGTGTATATATCTAAGATGACCTTGGATGAGAATCTTCTGAGGGTTTTGCCGAGGAACGTGCATAGGTTGGTGCTTGCTGGTATTTGGGTTGCGTCCAAGGCCCTGGAGGACTTGAAGTACTCGCATAGCCGGGTTGCCAAAGTCGGTGGTGTCTCTGAACAGGAACTGTCTAAACTAGAGATCAGTTTTTGTTTCTTAGCCAACTTTGAGTTGCGGGTTGATGCACAGATGCTCCTTAATGAGGCCTTACGCTTCAAATCTTTGGAATAACATTCAAGATCGTGTTAGCTTTGTGGTTTACATTTGGGTGTGGCTATCTAGGTGCAGTCCAATTCGGACAGCATTTATACCAGGATTTTCGCATAAATCTGAAGTATTCATCAAACCTTAATATTCATTGTGCATTGGAGTGAATTAGTATTATAAGACGAATTCGATTTGGTAGCCTCGATTCCTGTTAATACTGATTCGTCGAGGCAATTTCCACTCCAGGATAGTACCAAGTGCAAACAGCCACGATGAAATACACCAAGACACAAAGAGCTCCTTCGAGATAATTGGACTTGCCATCCCGCAAGAAATTGCCAACGACCAGAATCGAGAGAACAAGGAGAACAACCATGAAGATCTCGAAGTTCAGACTCATCTCCTTGCCCATTCCCCAGCCAACAATGACGGTGAGTGGGGCATTCAGCAGTGCAGTCTGGATAGAAGGGCTCAGGCAGTGGAAAAGTGCAAAGTTGATCTGGTTATCCCAGGCTTCATCAACGGCAGTAAGGTGTTCGGCAGCCTTTTCGACCAGCGGTACAAGGATCAAACCGAGGAAGTTATCCGAGACACCACGAGCCACAATGAACTCAATTTCTTGGACCAGGAAGACGGCCGACATACAAACACAAGCCAGGGAGATTGCGATGGCCACAAAGCACTCAATCAATGTGAGTTTGGCCCTTGCAAGTTCTTCGTGTCTGTCTTCATCGTTATCTTCGTCTTCGGCTAGCACTTCGTCGAAGATGGAGTTGTGGCTGTGCAGGTTGAAGACCAGGTAGCTATTGAGGTCAGTGACAGTTTTCTATGCATATATTAAAGGTTACTCACGTCAAAAATGCCACGAGAAGGATAACCGAAGTGGCACGGCTAATTGTCAGGGCATAATCGCCTAAAGCGTGCAGTGTAAACTCTTCATTGACGCTCCCACGCAGCGCCGAGTAGAAAGCACTAGGGATTAAAAGTCCGAAGCCAGCAACAAGCAGCAGCCCAGTGCCGACCTCACTGACCGCTTCATGGAAGACCTGCTCCTCGCGTCGGAGACCACCGACAAAGAAGCACATGCCCAAGCAAAGCAGGAGGTTTGCCATGATGGAGCCGAGAATAGCGGCTTGAATAACGGGGATCAGATCGGCATGTTCGGTTCGGCCATGCTTATACAAAAGGACCATGAAAAGTACAAGTTCCACCACGGAGCTTAGTGTCGTTTCAACCAAGATACCCAGCATCTTGGGTAATTTCTTGGCTAGCTCTCCGCCTGCGAAGCCGAGCAAGTTTGCCGAGGGCACCATGGCAATGTAGTTGAGACTGAAAATCCAGACATGAAGGTCGGGTCGAGCAAAATGTATAACGATTGCGGCAGGGACAAAGGGCCAGAGGATGTTCACCACCATCGACAGTGTGCAGACACTCCTGAAGCATACTTTGAGAAGATGCCATGGGTGTATTCCCGTCCGACCGCTCTCTCCTGCAGATTTGACGCGAAAGAGGCCATGTCGTCGTTTGGAGCTTTTCGAGTTGGTGGGCAATATCGAGTTACTCTGCGAGGTCTTTTCTTTCAATGTCTTCGACCCATCACCACTCCCGCGGAGGCGCAGATCGGTGTTCTGGGAGTTGTCTGACCTGATTGAGCCCATGGTCACAGAGCTCAGGGGCTACTGTTTGGTTGGGCGAGCACGGTACCAGACCGTGAAGCGACCAAAGAATATAATGGTAGATGGATTCGTAATAAATGCTTGATAAAAGGATAAAGAATCAAGGGAAGAACGCTGCAAGGACAAGAATTTCACGCTGAGTGTAGGAAAAAAGCAAAGAAAGGGTGAGAGACAGCAGGGACTATACAGCTCTGGCCTGTGCGAAAGGAGGCAAATAAAAACAACCCCAACTGTGGGATGCGCTGGCAGACAGCACAGCCAATCAGCCTTCAAATGATCGAGAGCAATGGATCAGGGATGGAGCATCTCACGAGCCAGGTGGTCTTGGCGCATCCAGCCACAATGTGCAACTCATCCGTGACGATCGTATTCAGATTGGCCGTGGCGACTTTGGCTCCCAAGGGGCACCCAACCTCCTCAACAGTCCAAATACTGTAACTGGCATCCTGGCTGTGTTCTGGGACATGCCATTGTCAAGGATGAAACCACAATGTGTAGATTGCTGTGGGGAATGTCCCATTGTGCACAGCCACGGTCTCGGCTCTGCAGAAATCTCTCAACTTAGCGCATCATTTCCCAGAGAGTGTGAACACCACTTGTGCAGGAAGAGCTTGGTTTAGCTTGTTTTTGTTGAAGGATTGGAGCGAGATGGGCAGTGTGGATAGAGATCGGCATGCATGTAGAAGAGAGATCGATTAGATCGGTGAGGCAAGTTTTAAGGTGCGGTGTGGTGTAGCGGCAGTAGTTATAAGTTACTTATAGGTCCTTGTGTCCTTAGGCATAGATACTTGTGGTTTGCTCTAGATATTCTATTCTACAACTGACAGTGTAGTAAACTTATATATGTTCCTGTGTCCGTAGACCTCAGCGTTATTCTGACACGTTCGAATTGGCATGTATTCTGTTGTTTATATATATGCGATCTCACTGATCTAATTTGTGTTTAAGCTGAATATAGCTCAAGTCTTATTCATTTACTATAATCCTATAACTTATACACTTCTTATATACTGTCAATCCCATACACGTATAGTTGCGTAGATGTAGATTAGATGGGTCCACAGACGGCTATCATCGGGCGGGTCACAAAAAGTCGGAGTGGTGAAATCTTCGCTTTTGACAACTTCACTTCCTTTCTCTTTGAATAGTGACCTTCATATTCATAATGTCTTCTAATACCTTCTCCCCACCAGTGGCTCTGGACACCATCACCCAGCAGATCGGCAACACACCCCTTGTTCGCCTGAACCGTTTGCCCCGCAGCCTCGGAATCGATGCCACCGTTTATGCCAAATTGGAGTACTTCAATGCCGGTGGCAGTGTCAAGGACCGCATTGCCCTGCGCATGATAGAGGAGGCCGAGCGAGAGGGTCGCATCAAGCCTGGCGACACCCTCATAGAGCCTACCAGTGGCAACACGTTCGTTTTTTTTCACTGTATGGTGTGATTCTGGGTGCTAATTGTGACTTAGTGGTATCGGTCTGGCACTGGTTGGTGCTGTCAAGGGTATGATGCTAGTGGTCTACTCATGGTATATATGTACTGACATGTCTGTTCCTTATAGGCTACAAGACCATCATCACGCTTCCGGAGAAGATGTCTGCCGAGAAAGTCGCCGTCCTGCGCGCCTTGAACGCTACGATCATCCGTACACCCAATGAGGCGGCCTACGACTCGCCAGAGTCTCACATTGGAGTGGCCAAACGCCTTGAGAAGGAATTGCCCAACGCCCACATTCTGGACCAGTACGGCAATGTGAACAACCCGTTGGCCCACGAGCTCGGTACCGCCGAGGAGATCTGGAACCAGACCAATGGGCAGATCAAGGCTATTGTTGCTGGCGCAGGAACTGGTGGTACCATCACTGGTCTTGCCCGTGGTCTCAAGAAGCACAATGCCGATATTAAAGTGATCGCCGCCGATCCCTTTGGTTCCATTTTGGCTCTGCCTACCACTCTCAACGATGCTCGCGCCAATGAGCCTTACAAGGTCGAGGGTATTGGATATGATTTCATTCCCGATGTGCTGGACCAGCAGGCTGTGGACCACTGGTACAAGACTGCCGATAAGGAGTCTTTCAAGTACTCCCGCCAATTGATTGCTCAGGAGGGTCTGCTGGTTGGTGGTAGCAGTGGCAGTGCCATTGCTGCTCTTGCAAAGGCCAACGAGGAGCACAAGTTCACCAAGGACGACGTTGTTGTTGTGATTCTCCCCGACAGCATCAGAAGTTACCTGACCAAGGTAAGATCGGATGAATGCAATATTCAACCTCAACTGACATTATACTAACTACTTCCAGTTCGCTGATGATGATTGGCTCGCCGCCAACGACCTGCTTCCCCAACTCCCCGCTGAAGTGGCCGCGACAACTGAGACTGAGCCAGAGTCCGACCCTCTGGCCGATGCCAAGGTCAGCGCTCTGCGCCTGAAGCCCATTACTACCGTCACAGCCAGCTCGCCCTGCGAGACCGCCATTGAGATCATGCGCGACAGAGGGTTTGATCAGCTCCCCGTCCTCGCCCCCTCCGGCCGCAAGCTGGTGGGTCTCGTCACTCTGGGTAACGTGCTTAGCCGACTGACTCACGGCCGGGCATCCGGTCAGAGCCCGGTCTCCGAGGTTATGTTCGACTTCTCCAAGATCTCCGAGGTGGTCACCGACCCCCGTGATCTCGGCAAGGGTAAGGATACCCACAAGCCTCAGGCCCGCAGCCGTAGCTTCATTGAAATCACTATGGACACCCCTCTCAGCGTGCTGAACCGCTTTTTCGAGTGGAACAGTGCCGCTGTCGTTACTGAGAAGGATCAGAGCGGTGCTATGAAGCCTCTGGCTGTCGTCACCAAGGTCGATCTCCTTACCTGGATGCTGCACCAGAGCAAGGCGAACAAGGCCTAGATTTTTCTTTTTGATCGGATAGAGATTTCTCTGTCCAAAATGTATTCCGCATGAGATATTGCTTCTTGGGGTAGAGGTTCAACATTGGGCATTCTGATATTTGGGATTGGCGTTTTTTTCCTCTTATGCAGGCCTCAGTGAGATTCAACACACGATACCTGTGCAGTGCAAAGATAAATGGCGTTGAATATGATGCATATTTAATACACATAGAGAATAATAGCATAGTCCAATGAATGGTACTGGTGGCGATGACGTATAGGTGCTACACCTCCAGCTCGACCAACTTCAACAATTCCTCACCTCGAAATGACTGGAATATTCACATACCGCAACTTTTCACTGGAAGATGTGCCGGGTTTAAAAGAGCGAGTGGCTGTGGTCACGGTAAATCAATCTGTCATTCACAGCAACTGAGGCTAATCCTTGAATAGGGTGGGCATGCAGGCATTGGCAAAGGCACGTATATGGGAACATCAAATGGAATGCCAAATATTGCAATTCAACATGCTAACAATCAATAGAAATCACGGCTCAACTTCTCTTACACGGTATAGAGAGAGTGATCATCCTCGCCAGAAGCGAAGACAAATACGTCACTGCCTGCAAAGAATGGAGTCAAAGCGAGGCTATCTCACTCAATAAGGATGACCCCCGAGTCAAGTTCATCAAGTGTGATTTGGGAGATATCGAGGATGTCAAAGCTGCCACCGAGAAGATCAAAGAACTGACAGATCGAGTCCACATCCTAATCTGCAACGCAGGTGAGTATCATCTTCATTCTGCTACCATTGTAATCTAACAAATACGTGAAGCCCTCGGTGTCCCAGATGAATACACTCGCTCGCCACAGAATATCGAGCGTGTCTTCGCGACAAACTGCGTCGGACACCAAGTTCTCACTACACTACTCATGCCTCTCTTGAAGAATGGCGTGGTAACAGTGCGCAACGGCGATGTGCGTATTGTTGTTGCGAGCTCGTCTTTACACTTGACATGCCAGGAGCTAGATCTAGATCTTCTGACTTCATCTTCACGCGTCAAATGGCCTGCCTTGTATGATGGGGTCTGGCGGTATGGCCGATCAAAGCTGGGCAACATTCTTTTTGCGAAAGAGCTCAGTCGTCGGCTTTTGAATGATCGTGATCCGGCCAGTAAGCATATCTATGTCAATTCCTTCTTCCCGGGAAATGTTGTCACTGATCAGTGGCTCGACTGGTCTTCTTATTTTGGATCTTTTTTCGGCTGGCTTGTGAGGTTGGGTGGATCGTGTTGGGGTCAGTCGTTGGAGGATGGGGCCGCGACGGCTTTATATCTTGCTGCCGGTCGTGAGGTGAGAGAGGAGAATATCCGTGGTCAGTACTTCATACCTATTGCTACGTTGTGTAAGCCCAGCTCGATTGCTAGAGATATGAAGCTCTCAAGAGACTTGTGGGTGAGTATATCATCTTTATTTCAGAGTGTCCGGGTTGATGGCTGATCCCCTGCAGGACTGGATCGATGCTCAGGCTACGGAGACACTTGGACTGGATTGGGAATGGCAGAGTTAGATACGTAGGTAAAATCGCTGAAGAACTTAATGCACTTTTGGTATCTGCCATATTAAATACAAAGCACAATCGATATATTTACTGTTTTGGACCGAGACAAGAGAGCAATGGAGCAATGGAGAAAGAGCCCAACTCTTACAGGCACATGCCAATCCACTCTTCCCAGCGACGCACTCCAGAGCCATATTCCTCTTGCTGATCACCCTTGACGGCACCGCCAACCACCTCGACCTTGACGCCAACCTCGTGTTCCAGCAGCTTGAAGCTGAAGGATTCAAGATCGTCATTGCCGAGAATCTCCTCATCGTCATCCAAGGTACTGTCCGCACTTGCATCCAGAAGACCCTTGTTCTTCGACTTGCGGATGCGATCAATCTCGGCCTCCAGCTTCTCTTTTACCGAGCCTGGGGGAAGAGCCGTGAACAGGTCCTGCTTGTTCGCAGCGACCAGGACAGGAATCTCCGTGGTCCGCTTGCTGGATGATCCGTTCTTAGCCCGCTTCTGGAGGACAAGAAGGACATCGTGTAGATAGGTAGCGGTGTCGCGGAGTGTCGCTTCGTCCACCAGGGCGGCAGTATCAACCATGAAGACTACACCCCGTAACCGGGTCTTAATGTCCTTGGACTGGGCCATAGCCTGGAGCTCCGACAGCCCCTGCGAGACACGGAGCTTGCCATGGCCAGGGGTATCCCTTACACGGTACTTGATTGGGTTCCGCGCGGCCTCCTTCAAGGAGGGATCGTTGACCGAGCGATACCGATTGGAAGCTGTAGGGACATCGGGTGGCAGGCTAACAGTCACCAAGGTCGATTGTTGAGAGGTGTGGGTGCTTTGCGACTTCTTCGAGGCGGGGGATGATTTTGCCTCGAGCTGTGAATTTGGTTAGCAAAGACTTAGCCCCTTTAATCATCCATGGAATGATACTACCAAGGTTGTGAAAGCCGTTTTACCAGCTCCGCTGGGTCCCAGGAGCAGGAAGTTGCTTGAGGGCGGAGATGCAACAGCTTGGAAGAAGATCAGGTGCAATGTGATTGGGACCCCGAAAGTGAAGATAATAGCAATGGCGATGGCAACCAGATTGCCATCAAACAGCAACGTGGCAATGCCAGTCAACGAATCCCAGCCTGCTTTGCTCGACATAGTTGTTGAAACTGAGCTCTGTGGAGTGGGCTGAGGACGGGAGAGAGGTCCGCACAGACCACCCTTGATGTATAGGACGTTGGGCCCTTCCAAGGAATGTCAACTTTGCATACCACAGGGTAATGAAGGGATGTGGTCTCTTTTCTCTGGGGGGTTTCTCCTCCAGACTTCATCTCTCTCAATCATCTCAGCATGCGAGTCCAACTTCCGGCAGTGGTGCTTTCATTCGCTGCCTTTGCCTATGCCCAGATCACAGATGGTCTGAGTTTCGATGGCGGAGATGTTGTGAGTCTTCTTTGGGGCTTGGATAGTGAAACGCCTTCAAGTTACGACTTCTATCTTTGCGCCGGGGACGAAACCACGGATTCATACGTACGTTGCTCATTCGAGGCCCGCGTTTTATACATCGTGCTCATCACCATCTAGGACTCTCTATCACAAGTGATCAAGAATGGCGCTTATTCTTCTGGGGACGTGGTCTCCTTCCGAGTCGACCAGAGTGTTGGTGGGAATGAACTTAATGCATAGTAAGACGTGGCTCCCCTTGAAAGGTATCAAAGTCATTTTTAACTGACTAACGCTCCTGTGTTCAATCAGCTTCCTCAAGGTGGTTTCTACAGACACTCAAGAGTACTGGTCTGGATTTACATCTCACTTCACCCTACGAAACATGAAAGGCTCTTTCTCGCCCAAAGTAATGGAAGCGATCCAGACATTGAAGCCAAATCCCCCTATCGCAATCCCTTGGCCTGTAGTCCAGGATGACCATCTGCTCGAGGACGACGTTCCCTCAACCCTCAACATCTCGAGTCTCAGCCTTCCGTCGACCGGAACACTCTTGCAGTTCCCGACACCGACGGTCGAGAGTGACGCCAGTCACAATGAGTTACGGAAACGACAGGTGATGGCTATCGGCGGCGTTGGCGCTGGTGCCGCCGCAGCGGCCGTTGTTGACCAGCATACTGTCCCTTTCGGTGAGCAGACTGGCCTTACAAAGTATGCTCCCATGCCCAAGAGTGCTGGAACGACCATTGCAACTAGATCGGCTACTCCTCAGTATCCGCCTTTCCCATACTCAATTGCCACTGCCTATCTTGGGGCTCCGACTGTTCAGTACACGGATATGGCTTATGCCACATGGACAGCACAAAGCATTGAGAATACGGTATGTTTGACGCTTTATGTCTTGCGTTGTTTTCTAAAAATGCTAACTTTTCGCTAACTTCAGGCTGCTCCCGCTCCTCAACCCACTCTGGACAAGAGAATGCAGAAGTGGTTGGACCGTTGGAAGGATTAATTCTATTTCCCCGCCTTACTTTTGATGGGTATCTTTTTCTGGCGCTCACGTTCGCGTTAAGATATTCGAATTATGTGTTTTTATGGCCCGATGTCATGGCGTTGGAGTTTGTCGGCTCTTGGATGGCCTTACATTGTTTGAATTTTTGTGCTTATATCCCATCAGCCTTTACATTGAAACAGTATCCAATATTAATGGGAAAATCAACACGCCTATCTCTATCCAATGCAGTCGAGCGCAATAAATCCTTCGTATAGGTTGTTCGTTGAATGCGTATAATCAATGATCGGGCGAGTTGCTATTTATTTTCACTTCCACTCATCCAGCGCCGGTGTCAATGATGGTGTCACTGGGTGACTGACTAGATCTTCAGGGTGGAACGAGATGTTCTCCCGCATCGCCACATAATCACTATCGGCATAGCCAAGTAGCGTTTCGATCTCTGTGCTGCGGTGTCCCTTGATATGCGCGATTTCAAGGCTGCCATAGTTCACCAAAGCGCGACCAACTTCCTTGGGCTCCTGGGCGTGGTGGTAAAAGTCCCCGTTCAGAGCGTCGGGAGATGGACGCTCAACAACAACTAGACGAACAGCTTCTTGTTGCCCAAAATGACCTTCAACTCCAACCACTCCAGCTGGGAGCAGGTTCGCCTTATTCAAAAGGGCATTGTAGGCCCCGTGATCGATGAATAAAGTACCGTGCGGGTAGAGCCCGTGAAGCAGCCAGAATGTTCGTGACTGAACCGGCGTACCAGACCGAAGGAATCTGGTATGGAGAGGGGCTGTTGGGGCCGCATCTTGTTCATTTGCCGTGCCCTTGGAGCGAGCCTCAATGTGTTGCAGATACTTCACGATCTCGTGAACATTCCCTGGCTTTGAGCTCTTGGTAATAACGGTTGTTACACCGGCACTTGTTCCCAGTTTGGCAGCCACAATCTTCGTACTCATGCCTCCAGTTCCAAGTGAGGAACCGGCCGATGAGACATCGGCCTCGAGAGAGGCAATGTCGGACACGACTTCAATGGGCTTTGCGTCAGGGTTAGTTCGGGGATTCGCAGTATAAAGACAATCGACGTCAGTCATCAAGAAAAGGTAGTCGGCTTTGACCATGGCCGCTGTAATCGCAGAAAGGGTATCATTGTCGCCAAATTTAATTTCCTCGGAATATTGTCAGACGGTCGACGATATAAAACAAGGTTGGTGCTCTTACAGAAACAGCCAGGGTATCATTTTCGTTCACAATAGGAATCACTCCCATGTCGAACAGCTGTCCAAAGGTATTTTGGGCGTTGACATATTGGGTCCTCTGGATTAAATGAATGTTAGCGTTGCAAACGAATATTCAGCACCACACATACATCCGCAATATCATTTCTCGTTAGAAGAATTTGGGCTACAGGGACGCGGAGATGCGAAAAGAGGTTGTCCCAAAGACTCATCAGCCGACACTGGCCAACTGCAGCGAGTGCCTAAAACAGTTGATTAGCTTCCATATTGAACACATTTCGGACTAGCGCATCACTCTACGCCCCAGCTTCTCCTACCTGTATCCGTGGAAGATATGTTGGTCTTTCATCCACATCCATCCTGCGGAGACCAACCCCCACCGCGCCGGACGATACAAGAACAACCCGGTGGCCATCTCTGTGGAGTTTGGCCACTGTTTCCACGATCAACGTTAATATGGACAGGATTGGCTCGTGTGTCTTTTCGTCAACGATTGAACTCGTCCCTGTTGCAACGAAAACCGAAGCTGTCAGTATTGCATTGCGAACATCCAAGTATAGATTCCACGCACCTAGTTTAATCACAATTGTGAGGCCTGACGGTGCTGACATGATGTCGAGTCCAGTCAATCCAAATGGACCTCGCAGTCAACCAAGAAGAGAAACAAAATAAAGACAGAGACACTTGTTGACTGCCTGCGGCAATTGTCCGCGGAGGAGTCACTTTTTGTCCGATCCCGGACGATTCTGCCACTGAACACCGCCCGCTGCGGAGGTTCTTCGTGTGTTGCGCGCAACCATCAGACAATCCAGAGTCACAATTCACGATGACAGACTCCCAGTCTCCAGGTGTGTCTGCGCCTACAAATGGAAAGCCCGACACCACAGGTTTCATCCCTGGTGATGACACCTGGACCCAATTCCGCAACATCTATTCCATTCTCACCGGTAAGATGTCAAACGAAGGCATTGAGAAGTTCCGTGTCGCGCGAGACACCCGAAATGAAGCCGCGGATTGCAAGCGTTGTGAAGATCAGCGCGATTACCTTCTCCAATTTAGTGAGTTACTCGCCGTGGCGCCATCCGAGGCTGCAGACTTACATGATCATTACACAGGTCCTACCATCCGTTTCCTTAGTGAAAGCATTCAACAATTAGGAGGCGATCTCCATAATCACAATATCTATTGCCGCCGCTGTACGGATCGGAAGGGTGGTGGTTTCGATCCAGAGTATGGCATCTTGATTTGCGCAAATGAGATGAAGGACCAGGGACACCTCGAGGACACAATGGCCCATGAGATGGTTCATGCCTTTGACCACCTGAGATTCAAGGTCAATTGGTCTGATAACCTGCGGCACGCAGCTTGTACAGAGGTATATAATTGTTTACATTTGCTCTACTGAGTTACGGCTGCTAACTCTATCTAGATTCGGGCCAGTTCGCTCAGCGGCGAATGCAGATGGGCGCGCGAGTTCTTCAGGAGAGGACAGTGGAAACTCACACAGCAGCATCAGGAATGTGTCCGTAGAAGAGCCATTCTCTCTGTGAAGGCTCGCCCGACCTGCAAAGACGAAGCCCATGCCGAAAAGGTTGTCAATGAGGTCTGGGATAGCTGCTTCAGAGATACCCGGCCATTTGATGAGATCTACCGATGATACCACCACTCCCTTGTTTGTCATTCAGCCCTATACGATTCTCCACACTTGTATCATAGATATGTTTGTTTGAATGTACCATATTTCATTGGCGACGTTGGAAACAAAATAAAAGATCCACATATCGCCATATCATGAACATCTCTCTCAACTAGACTCCAAAAACAGACCAACACGCCCAAAAATGCTCAAAAGACCAGAAACACACAAGACTCCATATGGGGGTTAGAAACAGCAGAACAAAAAGAACACCGGAACACCTAGAGACCAGTTATGCAAGGTCATTCATGCTTTCTCGGTCTTGGAGGTACCAGAGCTCCGTTTCACAGTCTGCTCCTCCTTCGCGCAGTGCTTGACAATCCAGGGATGGCGTTGGATCTCATCGAGAGGAATTCGCTTCGCAGGATCAAGAACCAGCAGCTACAAAGTATTAGCGAACGAACGATATGTGTAGAAATGTGCAAGCTCACCTTCTTGATGAGGTCTTTTGCCTCAGGGCTCACAAAGGACGGAACCGACATATCAGCCCGGCTAATCCTCCGTTGGGTCATAATCGGAGTATCCTCAAATGGTGCCTCACCAACCAAGAACTCATAAGTCAAAACACCCAGACTCCACAAGTCTATTTTCTCGCTGTAGTAGTTGGTCTGGGAGCCACTGTGCAGCATCTCTGGGGGCAGGTAGTCGAGAGTTCCGCACATCGTCTGGCGTCGGTTGTTGGGGGCGTGCACACTCCATCCGAAGTCACTGATTTTGATCTCTCCGTGAATGCCAACAAGAATGTTCTCGGGCTTAATATCACGGTGCATAACGTGCTTCTTGTGAAGGTACTTCAATGCCGCAGCCATCTGGGCGATGTATTGGGCAGCCTTCCATTCCGGGAATCTGTGTTCCTTGCGAAGGTGCTTGTAAAGCTCTCCACGACCGGCGAACTCGAGAATCAAGAAGATACGCTTGCTGTCATGAAAGTGACCGTAGAGCCTCAACACGTTGGGGTGTCGCAAGTTACTTTGAATCTCGATCTCACGGCGGACTTGCTTCTGGACTCCACCCTGTTGGAGTTCGGACTTGTGCAGCACCTTCAGTGCGCAGACAAAACCGGATGAACGTTCTTTAGCAAGATACACTCGTCCAAACTTCCCCTTTCCGAGGGGTTTGCCGATTTCGAACATGCCCAGATGCAGTTCTCTCGGTACGGCCGGCTGTTCATGAAGAGAAGATGTGCGCTTCTCGCCGTTTTCATCGGTGTTTCGGGACACCAACGTTCCATGACCTTTTCCCGGCGATGGGGGAAGATTCATAGCATTGACCTTGTTGTCATTGTTGTTTTGGAGGGCCAGCTTCAGTAATTGCGCTCGATTTGAGTTACTGTTTGTCTGTGAGATGCCTGCAGAGGCAGATCCCTGAACTCATATCAGCAAGTTGTATCCGGCACAATGGGTAGTGACAAGTACCTTCTTTCCATAGGTCCGCTCACTGCTTCCCTCTTTCTCGTCTTTGACGGACAAATGCTCAAAGCGAGATTCAAGCGTCTTAGTCGCCATGGTGAGACTCGGCTGTGTGGGTATCGAACTAAAGGGACGAGCAAAGAGAGAATGAGAAGAGAAGCAAATATAAAGATCAGATCTTGGTAGTATTAGTCGAATGCAATCATGATTTGCTTAATTGTCGTTTGGCGTTGGTCGATGGGAGGAGATCGCAAAGATGGAGAGAGAGGCAGAAGCTCGGGTGTTTGGACGATCCCGTGCGCGTCACCCGGGCAACCTCACTGCTTATGTCATTCTTGTATCTTTCTGTCTATACCGCCTTTCTCTCCGCCTTGGGAGCTAGAGTGCATTGAATGACATTCATACAGTGTTTGGGTTCTTTAACCGAAGGATATGCATGTCATTAAAGCGCAAAAAACTTGTCCCACCAAAGTCTACAGTATCACTATCCAGAAAATACCCAGGCTTTGCGAATCGCCCACCCATTCTGCCTTACAAAACACTTCTGGGCGGTCGGTCCGCCTCTTTCTCCGTCCGCGGGGTTATCGCTATCAGCTCCGATCGCGAACATTTATAGATCCTCAAGTGCACTCTCTCGAGTTGATCGTACTTACTAGCTGCGATAACTGCGAGCCTCGTCCATGATGGCCACAACACATGCTACGATATCTTCAGAGGCGAAGAAGCCAAACACGATTCGCATCAATGGATTTGTGATCTCAACACAGAAACTACCCATCCTTAAAGCCGACCCGATTGAGGAAATGACACAAAAGCTGGGAATCGCACCTCCGGAGATGATCTTTGGTGACAACTATGTTGCAATCGAGTCTGAGCAGGGTGATTGGGGCATTAACTTCAATGCATTTGATGCCTTGGACTTGGTGGACAAGACCGGCCAATCTATGCTTCAGGTCGCATACTCAAGAGAATGGCAAAAGAGCAGGTATTGGCATATGTCTTGGCATTTCCATCCATATGATCATTGAGACTAATTGTTTTGGAATTGCAGAGAGAAAACCCACGAAGGCATTAAAGAGGTCGTGAAGCCATTCGACTGGTCCTACAGCACCGACTACAAGGGCACTCTTCATCCTAACTCACGCCCATTCGAGGAAACAACGAAATCCATCCCGATCGAGCTATTGAAACGTCCAGACCCCATCGTATTTTTCGATGAGGTTGTGCTTTACGAGGACGAACTGGCCGATAACGGAATTACGATGTTGTCTTGCAAAATCCGAGTGATGCCAGGAAGACTTCTTCTACTTTCAAGGCTATTCATGAGACTGGATAACGTCCTGATCCGACTTCGAGACACCCGAGTCTACGTAGACTTCGAAACCCGTGAGGTTATTCGGGAATATTTGTCCAAGGAGTGTGATTATGGGAAAGTCCGCGAGGTATGTCATTCTCAATGGCTTTGATTGAAGGTCTGCTGACTTGCAAACTACCTACAGATGCTAGCAGCCACTAGGGATGATATCCCGGCTTTCTTGAGAGATGCCAACCGACTTTCAGAGATTCTCCCTGTTGTGGAACAGCGCACTGAGCGAGTGGTGCTGAGCGGTTGAGGATCTACATCTTGCTTTTTCGTGGCATGCCGTTGCCCTGATTTCTAATATGGATACCAGCTTGACTTTTGGCCCTCGAGCCATTGGGATTCTGCATCGGTACCCGCACCAGACTTCCACGAATGAAACATATCGACAACATGGTGTGTCTGGGAAACAAGGACCCGTAATGTTTCAGATTCACAAATAGGGTCTTACTTAGACTTGGAGGTGCAGTACTGTGATACGTTTAATGATTAAACCCATCAACAGCGGATTCAATTTTACAAGCAAACGTGCTAAAACTTACTGACTCCACTGCTTGCAGTTTATGCGTTGGGAAGCCAAATTCGTAGTGGCTTGCAAAAGAATATAGACGTGGACCAGGTTTACGTACACGTATAGGATTGAGTTTGAAGTTATATACAAACTTAAAAGGTCTGCATTTTATGTAAAATACGGGATGTCGTTGAAACAGAGAAAGGAGAAAGGAGAAAAAAGAAAAGAAACAAAGAGAAACCAATATAGGTATTTAAAAATCCTTACACTAAAGAGAATGCATACTGTCCACGTTGGGTAACGATACTGTATATTCAAACAAACAGTGCAAACAACACGGTTATCAGAAAAAGATGCAAGTCGCAAATCACGATAGACCAATTCACCCCAATCATCAGCAATGTCGTCCAGGAGATTGTCAACACTATGGGCGCGCGAAATGCGCGGGTCCCAGACGTCCTACATTTCCCAATGTGCTCATTGCATTCCCTCAACAACGCCCCTGGTATCCGCCTCATGCCCGTCTATGCGGTCGACTCGATCCTCATTGCGCCCGAGCTTCGCCATTCGATCGTATTCGCAGGGCAAGGTCGCCGACTTGGCCAAGAACTTCTCCCGCCGGCCAGGAACTGCCGCTGAAACCTATGTCGCATATGGCATGACCCAGAAGCTATTTGAGGCTTGCTCTAGCCAAGCGGACTACAAAATCCCTCAAGCATCGCAGAAAGGTGCAGAAGTTCCTAAGACGGCAGCCGGGGAAGATCTTGGTGTTGGAGAGGGCTGGTGGTATAGAGGTGAGCTGAACATTTGTCGTGGCTTTAACCACTATCGTTTCGTTTGGAAAGCAACTAATTGTGGACACTGCTGCAGAACTCGGTCTTAAGCCAACGTTCTCTACATGGTCCCAGGTGACTTTCCTTCACATGTACCTCTTGACAGTCCGTCTTCGTGCCCTTCCCTACCGTGAAAGCGTTACCACCTACTCCCGCCATCTGATCGACCACTTTTCGCACGAGGCAGAACACCGAATGGACGTGTACCATGATCTGGGAAGCCGCACAATCCGCAATAAATACTTAAAGGATCTTTTCATTCAATGGCGTGGAATCATCGCCGCATATGATGAGGGATTGGCCAAGGGTGATGCGGTTCTCGGAGCCGCTGTCTGGAGAAACCTTTGGAAAGGCAGCCAGACTGGGCCCGATGGAGAAGAGATTGACTGGGCCAAGGTTGCCCAGGTGGTGGTATACATCCGGCGAGTCTTGTCGGAGCTCGCAAAGAAGGACGAGGTTGATCTTGTTTTTGCGATTGGAAGCGCCGACAAGAAGACCCGTGGTATTTTCGGTTACTCCGAGGCGGACAAGAAGCTTGTTGAGTCGAGCAAATAAAGGGGATGTCGGACTGGAATGTGCGAAATCCCACCTGGCGTTTCTTTGGGGCATTCGTTTCATGTAGACGTATAGTGGATTATCACTTGGACTTCGAACATGTACAATACTAATTAAGTTAACGTTACCCTACTCTTCTTGCATATTGAATCATTTATGATGTTAACCTTATTATTTCTAGTAAAGAAACGACTAAAAGAAGTGATATGATGACTTAGTTGTCTTTCTTGCCGAAAAGATCCTTTTCCACCATGCCGCGGCAGATGGGGTGGTAGAAGTCCTTGTACTTCTCGAAAGTTTCGAGGGCAACAGGACGGTTGATCTTTTGGAGATTGCGGAAGCTAGAAGAGTCAGTGTCAGTGTTCCAAACATCTTAGACTGGGGTTGGAGATGTCTTACAGAGGTCGCACAAACTTCATCCGTCCAATGCGGCCGAGCAACTCAGTCGTCGGTTCGATGACGCTGTCATCCCCGGCCTTCATGCCAACCTGGAAATAAAGGTTGGAAACTTCAATGTTCTCACTCTTGGACAAGCCGTAGACATCACCCATCAGTTTCGAGATCTCCGGACTGAGCGGTTTTTCCAACAGGAGTATCTGTTCCAGGAAGACAACCAATTGGTTTGCAGTCAGGCCCTCGATATCGCTGGCTTGAGGCTTAAAGGAAGACCCGGGAAGAGACTGCCATTTCTTGGAAAGCCCATAGACGACGTCCACAAGCGATGTGTCGAAGCTTGGCTTGGGCGGCAAGCCCGGTGCATAGAACCACTTATCCCAATCTAGATCGTTCAGGAGCTTGGATGATTCGGCATCCGACTCGAAGAAGTCCAAGAGTGTGGCCTTGAATTCATAGGAGTCTAGAGATTTGCACTTGAACATTGTGAAGTACTGGGAAGAACGTTAAAGAGGGCGGAAAAGGCAAGAGAGAATCGACGTACGTGAGGGATGAATTTGTCAAACTTCGGCTTTCCAACAAGGTTCTCAAGGTAGAACAGGAAGTTAAAGCCCTTCTCGTAAGGGATGCTGGAGAATGCATCATCGGGGTCCTTACCCTTCAGGTCCACAATGAGTTTAGTGAACTCGTGGTCATTACCAAAGTGCTCGACAGCATCTGTCAGAGACTTCCATCCAATGATGGCTGAGAAGTGGCGGTACGCTTCGCCGTGGCTGCGAAAGTTAGCATATCCTCTGTGAGAGATACAGAACCTTATAGACGTACATAGCAGCCAAAATCTGTGAAATGGTTAGTAAAATGGCCGAAGAAAGTTTTCAATGTAACTTACCCGTCGCTCTAGGTAAACGGTCCAACCTTCGTTCAGCCAAAAATGCTCCCAAGAGGCATTGGTGACGAGGTTACCGCTCCAACTGTGAGCCAGTTCATGTGCAATAACATCGATGTTTTCACGATCCTGAAAATGTCAGCGTCTTGTCATCAAGGATTATACCAAGGTATGGACATACCTTGGAGATGATACTTGGGGTTGCGAAAGTGAAGATTGGGTTCTCCATGCCACCATAGGGGAAACTGGGCGGCAAGATCAAGACATTGTACTCGCCCCAGGCATAGGGATAGACAATTTTCTACGTTATATCAGTATTTGACCGTTCAGACAAGTACATCATACGTGTTTACCTCGATCGTGGTGATGAAATTCTCGGTATCAGCTTCGAGTTCCCATTTGCATTCATCCAGCTTGTCGGGGCTGGTAGCGACGACACTTCGGGGTCCAATGGGAGCCTCCGAAACATCTCTGTGAGCTTCAAGTCAGTATATACAAGGGATGTTGAGAGCAACAGCGGCTTTCTTACCCACTAGCGATGGCGAAGAGATAGCTGGGAATCGGCACCGACTGGTGGAATCGATACAGCTGGTGCTCGGACTTGGATTCCGAGGATTCGCGAATGGGCAGACCACTGGTCATGACCGGAAGAGGGGAAGTGATGTTGAAATCAAAGGTGCTCTTGACATCTGGAGTATCCTGACAAGGGAAGATAGACCGGGCATGGATTGCCTGGCATTGAGAGACTAGGACACGATATTGTCAGTAGAGTTGCAGGGCATTGGTGCCGACATATCACCTACACATGTACGGATGCTTCTTGTTCGAGGTTTGTGCCGGGGTCAGCCATTGCAGCGCCGTGCACTTCTCTGTAGTTTTCACGGCAATCTATAATTGGATGAGATGAAGCTATATAGAAGGTCGTGCAAAACATACGTCAACCTCAACGGTACCATCCAGCTCGACACCTTGCTCAAGACGAATCTTCAACGGAACTCCGAAGGGTTCCAGCGGGGGCAGCAACTCCCACTTGGATGGCTGGCCATTCACCTTCACGGTGCCAATGTCGAGATGGCTGGTATCCAGAATAATCTCGCGAGACTCGGCATTGGTGATGGATTTGAATCGATGAACGACATTGCCCACCAGCTTCTTCTGGTCGAACAGAATATCGAAATTGGCGGTGATGTGGGTAGAACGCCAGTTGTTGTAGTTACTCACGGTATTCGGATCCCGAGGATTGGTCACCATATTGCGGACTTGATTAAAGCGCACAGTGATTGAAGCAGAGTGTAAAGTCAAGAAATTGAAGCTCCGGAAAGAAGCCGATTTCCAGGCCGAAGTCATGAGGTTGTATCGGGGAGGGTCTTTTTGGTTCCGTCTCTAAGCGTGAACATGACTCAGATCACCAACATTCATATTTGTAACTGTAGCTGGGTTACTGGAGAGTCAAGTAGTGTAGATACTACTAGTAACTGTAGAGAATTGACTTTCTTATAGATCCCAACTCTACGCTTTGGGCTGGTGTTTATCCCTGTGCGATGTATACAAACTAGGGAGAGTCACCGTCACACCCCCTTTTCTCTCTCTTTCTCCCTCTCTATCTCTGTTGATTTCTCTAAAACCCTCGTCTTGCTCATCTTGAGTTATTTATCATCTTTTCTGGCATTCTCGATACTCCCCGCATTGTTCTTTTTTTCTCTCATTCGCCCACCGCCCCACGGGCCACCCCTGAAGTAGTGTGGATGGGTTCGGCCCCTGACCTCTGACATCCCCATAGAGCGTCTGCTATTCTTAGGGTGTTTTGGTATTCCTAGAGCCTTGCGACCCTGTCGCTTGAGGTTTGTCGTGCGCTTCGCATAAACCCTCGATCTGTGAGTGCTTCCCTGCTTCCCCCCACACAATGCGTCCCATATCTGATCGGTTCCACTAGGTTCAATTGCATGAAACGATGTCTCCCTGTCAAGCGACTGCCTTGCTATAACTTCCCAAATCCTGCGATTTACGAAGCGATGCGTTAAGACGAGCGGTTCTCAAAGGATCTCCACGAAGCATACGATCACTTCAGCACTTCCGAAGAATGAGCGAAGACACCAAGGACGTGGTTCCCAATACCCAATTCTCCTACCAACTGTGTTTATCCAGCTGCGCATAGTGTCGGGAGGAAACAACTACTTGCGCTCCTATACCGAAACTCCCCTTGCTAGATATTTAAAATTGACCGCTCGTTGAACATCTATCTCTCGATTCCTCTATCGCTTTGCGAAAATGATTCACCACTCAGCATTGGAGGATGAAAACCATTTGTCCTATCCTCGACGTCCGTCGGAACCCCTCGCATCGGACATACCCTCGGCACCGCCCCCTAACAGACCGTCCTCTCGTTCGTCACGGCCAGGCTCTCGGACTCGACTGGTGAAGCCATCAGGCGCAGTTACACCCACTGGTCTGGGGGTGCTCACAGAAAACGTGGCAAACTTTCCTCCGGAGGGCCTTGGTCCCACCAGTCCTATCAAAGAGGGGCTGGGTAGTTTAAATCGGTGGTCTCAGTCCACAGCATCCAGCAAGAGCCCGTCAGAATATACTGGTCATGGACGAGGGAGCTCGAAGGCGTCTATCTCGGGCTACATACGCGGGCGGGGGAGCCACAGCCCCCAGCGCCCCCCCGAGATGAATGGCCTTCCAATGCTCAACCTCCCAGCGCTTGAGAGGTCTCCAATATTCAATGCCGACTCAACTTCACCACAACTCGACCTTTCATTCACAGCCTCGAGCAATCTTTTCCACCCGTCCACAAGTGCTCCGAGGGCAGATGTTCAAACAACCCATTCCTATCAAGTCCCACAAGATCACGTTGCGCGAACCAGTGGGGGCTCCATCTCCTTCAATGATTTAGAGGGGGATTCAGAGACCCGGCAGCACGGTCACACCCAAAAGGCGATGCTTTCAAAGGCACTCCAGAAAGCAAACACGGCGGTTCTGCTTGACAATGCTGCCAATTTCGAGGGTGCTATGGATGCTTACTCTGATGCTTGCAATCTATTGCAGCTTGTCATGCTCCGTAGCAATGGAGGCGACGAAGAAAAGCTCAAACTACAAGAAATCCGTGATACTTATATGATACGAGTAACGGAGCTTCAGCGTATGGACTTCCCTCTCCCTGAGAGCGATGATAAGGCTCTCCCTGAGCGTCCTCTCAGCCAAGAGTCGTACGGAGAGTTGCTTCATTCGGTAAACGATGATTCTCAAATCGAGAGCCAGCAGAGCTCCGCTCATTCTAGCTTTGGGTTCCACCAGATACCACTGGAAGAGACAAAAGAATTTTCCTTGGAAGCACTTCCTCCTCGGCGCCAATCCTTAAAACCTTCCGCGATGGAAGATCATCCCCGATCTCTGACACTGCCAATGAATAACCAAGAAACCAACGAATCTACTTCGTGGCTGGACACGATTGACGAATCAGGTGCCTCGTCACCATCATCGGCGAATTCAAAAGCGTCATCAGTCTATCTTCGTCGTCGGACAAGTCGCCGCCTCAGCAATGACACTGAAGCTGAGTTTGATGCTGCTCTCGATGCAGCCGTCGAAGCTGCATATGATGAAGGTCTAGAGCCAGTGATAGAATATAATGAAGATGAGAATGATGAAAATGATGTGGTTGCGAATGCGCACCGGAACATTGAGTTGGCGAAGCAAAGGGTGCGAGAGGCAGAAAGAGAGGCAGAGGCAATGAATCGTGGCCGCGAAATGCGCCGAATCCAGGACCAGACACCGGACCCCATTGCCCGTACTTCAGAATATCTGGACGACGAAGCAGAGGAAGAAGAGCGCCTGCTAGAGGAAATGACCAAGGGCTACGTGATGGATGACTTTGAATTCGGGATCTCATCCAAGTCGGCTCTTCCTCGGGAATCGGGTTCTAGCAACGTGTCTGGCAGGACATGGGAAAGCTCCGCAACATCCAATGTCGCCAGCACAGGTGCGGCACTGTCGACTCTTGCGGAAGATGACATTCTGCCATTAGACGACCATATCATTCCTCCACACGTCTTTCCCTCTTCGCCTCCATCTTCTGCCTTGCCACCTCTTCCACTATCGTCTGATTTCCCTGCCCCCAAGCGGACCTCAATGTCAAACCGTGCTGGCTCTATTAGCTCTGTTACCGGTCCGGGGGTTCGAGCCCGGAGACTATCCAGCCTGAACACCCGCGAGCTCAAAATTGAAACGAATGCCCGCTCTCGAGCGGATTCCAATACGTCTGGCCTAGAAAGCTTTGCCACCCCCATGACCAGCCGCCCACCGGCGCCATTGCCCAAAGACGAGCCTTCTGCAGATCCTCCTCGGGCTTCTACTCCAAGCTCCCGTTCCAATTTACATCCCACACAGCGTAACCCGTCGGTGGGTTCGTTTATGGAAAATATCAATCTCGCCAAAGCTCGCACTCATGAGGATGATGAGGCTGAACTTCCACCTTTGCCGCCATCCGCGCGACCTATGGGCAAAGTACCTTCGGCTCCAGATGGATTGGATAAAGCACAATCCAATACAAGAGCCTTCCGGGGCCGGAATGCCTCAGTCCCAATCCAGATACCTGACACTGCACCAGAATCTCCAAGTACTCCATGGAGCGGTGCATTCCCTGCTCTGGATACCCAGAAGGCTGCAATGGCAGGCAGCATTCCCGTTATGCCTACCCCAACCCTTGCCAACTTCAACTTCAACCAGAATGGTTTGCCAACTAGCGGGATGAACCTGTTTGACAGCAATATTCACTCTCCTACTGCTCTTGGCCGTCCAAACTCACTGGTTTCTAACGCACCGCTTCCTCTGGAACCCTGCCCGGAGTCCTTCCTCCTCCGCCCATTTTGGCTGATGAGGTGTCTCTACCAAACGCTCGCACATCCCCATGGTGGCTACTTATCAGAGAAGCTCTTCATCCCGCGAGATGTCTGGCGCGTGAAAAATGTTAAACTCAAAGCCCTCGAAGAGAAAGTGTCCAACTGTGACCTTCTGACTGCTGCTCTGCTAAAATTGGCCCAGGTCGATACATATGACGCAGACGCAGTTTTAGAAGAGATGCAGTCGTTTGAAAGTGTTCTCGACCAAGTTCAGGGCTTTTTGTCCAAAAAGCTTGGTAACGAGGTTGGTGTACAGGCCTCCATGCCACTATTTAAGCCAGCTTCGACACCCGATGAGCCTGCTCACGTTGAAAGTGCGCCTAACAAATCATACCTGACATGGAAAAGAATTCGGGCAAAGACCTCTGGGTTGGGGACAACCACTCCAACACCGAGTGCACGCGAAAGTAATAAAGACAATCTGACCCTCAACTCTGTCCCTATGACATCTGTGCAGGGAACACACGCAAAGCGCAATGTCACCCAGCTTGAGTTCTCTGGGCCCAATGCAAACTATATGGGGGCATTGGCGCGGCTTTTCGATGCTGCCCAAGTGCTGGGTAAGAGTTATTGCGGCGTGTTGAAGTTCATTCAAGCTAACATATCAAACAGAGCAAATTGCCCAGCAGGTTGAGGATCCTGGCCTCAAACACTCGTCTCCTACCCATGTTGGCCTGGAGCTCAGCACACGACATGCTGCCGAGTTCTTCGGCTTTTACATTTGCCGTTTCGCACTGGCTGATGTGAGCTTGATGCTTGATAAGTTCATTAAGCGTGGTAGCGAATGGGTGTTGGTCTAGGAAGTATATGAAGCCATACGATAATCACCCTTTGGCGATTCAATGCCTGGAGTTTACTGCGTTTTCATGTTACATGCCCATATTTCTGATGTCCATATTGATCTCCTCATGTCTTTGAGATACCATGATGTTTAACCGTGAAATATTTGATGATTTAAGAACATAATTGTCATGAAAGGGGATTGTATGTATTGCTGTTTGGATTTCTTCTCTTACTCATATAAACCGTTTCCCCCACTCTGCTATCATCGCTGATCTGCTTCGCCTGTTTTGTTTCAGTCTATCAGAATCCGATTGTTTTGACATAGTGAAATGAATAGAAGCATACCATGCGTACCCGACAAGTTACAATGCTTTTAGTGCCCAGACAACTTTCATACCCACGAACCACACGAGTTACTTAGAGAAAAGAACCAGGGACTCATCCTCCCGTTATGTACAACATATGATACATATTGACCCAGGTATAACCTTAGTGCAGAATCAGAGGCACATACCGGCCGATCGAAGACAAATCTGCCGTCGTCTCTCAGCGTCTCGAATTATCTCAGCAGAAAGTTTCAAACTCGGTGCTAGGTGCGCATATCTCTCTACCTCACCTACAACACTCGCTATGATGGAATCCATTCTTGGACCAGGTGGGAGCAGGGTGGAGAGGGAAGGAGACATAGTGGCACCCATGATCAACAGGGTCTGTGAAACCATTGATAGGGCACCCTGCCATAGGTATGGAAGGTGGCCTTCGCGGTGACTGGTGATGTGCTCCAGTTGGCGAAGTGTTGCGTCCAAGCATCGCCGGCAACATTCCCTCACCCCGGAATCCGTTCCAGCCTGTTCGTTCTCAAAGACAGCCAAGATATATGGACGGTATATTATGGTACGACATGCATTGTAACGAAGCCTCAGTACCGTTTGGACTGGGTTGGAAAGAGGTGCCTGTGTCAGAGGGAACTGCACCGGGCCTGGGAGGCTCTCGTACCACTGTGACAGCTGGAAATCGAGCTCGGAGACAATTGGGCCGAGGGATGAAAGAGTATGGGTGCGGTCTTTCTGATAGATGATATGGCTGACGCGATTGAGGAGTCTTCGCAGCGCGATCTCTGCTAGAAAATACCAAAGCTCCTCACGCCCGGCAGCTTCCTCTCTGAATCTGGTCGTCCGGCTTTCTTTGCCTTGGTCATTATCTCCATCTTCCTCGTCATCTTCATCCTCTGCGTCTTCATCTTCGAATCCCCCGGGGAGATCCACCCGTTCCTCGAAATGAACGATACCAGAATGTGGAAGGTCCAACTCTGCGAGAAGGTCACTTTCAAACAATAGGGCATTCCAATACACTCTGACACTCAACTCCCTCCATTGGTTAGGGATTCGGTTGGGATTGCCAAATAATAGTTGCAATTTCATGCTCACATTCGATAGCAAGGTCCAGGCTTCCAGAGGCCGCACGAGGTAGAATAAGTATGCAGATGCTAGGACCATGCATTGTGTTGAGAACACGGTGTTTCGCATCATGACTGATGGTAACACGCTCCATGCAGCTGCGAAGTAGGGCAGCCCCGGTGGTTCACGATCTGGTGGGACGAACGAGATACTGCCGCTATGGCTGGCACTTCCTAGGGCTAAGACCAGCAAGACAAGGCAGCTCATCGGTCCTTCCTGAAATCCCTGTGCGAGGGCAGTCTGATAATATCGATTCCAGGTAAAAGGGTTCACGCATGCGTACCAGACGTTGCCATGGTTGAAAAAGGCCTGGGCATATGTGGACGCATTCGTCAAATCGAACCCTGAGTTTGGTGTCATCCGCAGTGGCTCGCGGGCCATCTCTAGCTGTAGTAGGTGCTGTGGATCATAGGCCACAGATACCAAGTCCCGAATCAATGGCCATTGTAGAAGATGCAGGGCCGGAGTGGTGTGCATCTTTGGCATCGTGGAAATGCTTATACTGGCCGGTGGGTTGACCCAGGACCCGAGTCCAACGGCGGACAATCTACCAGGCACCGGCAATCCACCAGATGCTCTGGCTAACGTTTCATCACTACCGAGATTGGTATCGTTGCTGGTGGCCGGGGAAGTCGAAGACAAGGCCATGTGAGACCCTTGGCCTGCCAAACTCGAATGCAGTAGTCCTTCGATTCTGGCCAGATGATCCAAAATGAGCCTGTCACCAGCATCTAGTTTGATTCCAGGTTCTCGGTACACACATTCTGCGTTCAAATCGGAGCAGAGTTGACACTTGGGACGAGCCCCGTTGCACCGAGTCTTGCGCAGCCGGCATATTTGACACTACATTGCACCAGTTCAGTCAATCTGCCGTGTCTTCCACAATGTCAAAGGCGCTTACAGCTATTGTTGCCCGTCGTCGGGGATATTCAGCAGCCTCGGAATTGGAGCGCTTTTTCTTGCCCAGGGAAGTGTCACTGGCTGTAAAGTCTGCAGCAAGGTCTGCCTCTTTCTCTGGGGGCATTTCCATGATGGCAAATCTCGGAGAGTTTCCTTTGTGTCTTAGAACGTAGTCCAATGTTCATACCACTCCAAACCGATATGGCGGGGTGGTTGACTGTGAGCATCAGACCATAGTGAACAATACGAAGGCTAGAGTATGAAAAGGGCAAATATTGTAAAAAGACGAGAAAACAGAGCAAATTTTTAAAAGATAAGATGCCAATGCTGCTGGGGATGGAGCCGGGCATTAATGAATGCGTAGGGCTGCTTTCACGAAATGTCTAAGATAGCTCGCCTAACTCGACGCGGAGCGGTTCCGTGACAGGACGGGCATGCCCAGTGTGGTGGCATGGGAAGGAAAGAAAGACATTCGACAAGACTAGAAAAGGGACAAGGCAATAAGTGCTAAGTTGTAGGCTGTAAATTGCATGTCGCAAGTTAACTTTACTCGTCGTAGAAAGGAAGTTGGTCCACGTGCACGCGTCCCAAACAACGCGTCGATCTCTCCCTTAAACTTAACGGCACTTTCTTCTTTACTCGACATCTAATCATAAATCATGCCGCGCCCTGCCCCGAAACGAAGCCGCACAAAAGGCCAGCCAGTCAGAAATGCGACAGAAGAACCGACGCAGCAAAATGACCCTGTATCCAAATCGCCTGCGCAACCTGAGCGCGGCTCGGTCCTGGATCCACGACAGGCATTATGCAGCCAAACGCCCTTGACCAAGAGTTATGAACAAGCGATTGAGTCTTCTCCCACCGGGGACCGAGCAGGCACAGGCAGTCGACCTGGGACTGGAAGTCGCCCTCCTACGAGGTCGCGCGGTTATTCCTCGACATTATCCTTTGCTGGCCGCAAAGGCGACACAAGCTCCCGAATTCCTGGCACACCTGGCTTCGAAAGCTCAGTTCTCAGTAACTTCAGACGGCGACCGCGACAGCAGAGTATCCTGCAGATGATGCAAGCTGAAGATGACTCTTCCGAATTGGACGACGATGACTTCCTTGGTGGACTCAGCCCTGACGATGAATCTACGCCGCTCAACCTTTCCAGGGGAAAATCACTTCTGATTAAACCTTCCGAAGACTCGCCATCACGATCCGAATCACCGCTTTCCTCGCCCGAGGGGTCGCGCAAGCGCAAGCGCATGACCCAAGAGATACAGGTGCCTCAATCACCTATACAATCGCCTATCAATGTGGTGAAAGATACTCCAACTGCAACACCGATCCAGCTCGACGACTCTTTAACTCATGCAGCTGAGGATGCTGAGGCCGAGGTACCTGAGCAAGAGGAGGAAGAGGAGGAAGTTGAGCGAGTCGAGGATACGCAGCAGTCTCAACAATACCCAGACATCTTCAGCCAGACTATGCTACCGCCCACCAGTAGTCCCATGCGAAGTCCTGCTGGCTCCGCTGCAGTGACTGGTGACTCTACACCCACTGCGTCGCAGCCTGCAGCCAGAAAGAAGTCCAAGGCCCCAACCTACCTATCGACGGCGAGTTTACAAGACAGGCTTTTGCCTAGGCGCCGCCGACGCAAGAACAGAGCTGGCGACGACTTTGACGTCCCTAGTGACGAAAGTGATGACCAACACGATGCGGCATCTGGCGATGAAGACGAACTGAGCTACCCATCAAGGCGGCCATCCAGGCGAAAGGCAAGCTCCAGAAAACCCAAGCCATTGGCCAATGCACAGGATAAGTCAAGACTCAACAATCCGAGGCAGTGGAATGCAAACGAGAAGCCAGCCAAATCCGAAGCAGCCCGAAAAGCGCCTACAACATACTCGCGGTCTCGCGGCAGTATAGGTGTCGAAAAGGAAAAGGAAAACGAAATGCTCGCTCTATCGTCACCATCCTCCTCGCCCTTGTCATCACCGCCTGATTCCGACGTGTCTGATAATGAGTCTGCTGGAACGGAGCCCACGCCTCGTTGCGTAAGCGATGAGTTGCGCGCGGCTGTCAAGAAATTTGCAGAGGTTGATCAATGGGAGATGGAGTTTGAAGATGTGTCTGCCTCTGAGACGCTAGGCAGTCCATCGCGATAGTCCTCGTTTTGACGTGTAACGAAGCTCTTTTATTTTCTTTCTTACCGAACGTAGCCGTTGTTAGGCCCCGCAATAGCCGATTTAGTAAATACTACATTGTTTCTGCCCCCGCGTCTTCTCTTTTCTCTATCTCGACTACCCTTCAAGATGACCACTGTGGACACCATCCTCGCCGCCAAGTATCCGGCTAAAGCCCATGCGCGCCGTGTCGCCGAGTCTATCAAGATCCGGCACGGCGGGGCCGGTGCCATCTACCTCGAGGCTCAAAAAACTCGTTTGATCGAGGACAGCGACGAGGCTATGCCCTTCCGGTATTGTTTAGCAGCCCTGAGGCTCTTTACGTGACTGACACACCTGACACACTCATAGCCAACGTCGTCCTTTCTTCTATCTCACTGGATGTCTTTTGCCTGATGCCGCCGTGGTCTACGATGCCGTCGCAGACCAGTTGACCCTGTTCATTCCTCCAATCGATCCCGAGTCGGTTATTTGGTCTGGTCTCCCGCTGTCTCCCGAGGAGGCTGCTAAGCTTTACGACGTGGATCGCGTTCTCTTTACGACCGATGTCAACTCGACCCTGGCGTCGATCGCCTCGACCCACAATGGACAAACTACTGCGTTCGCAATTGCCGAGCAGGTGTCAGGGGAAACCAAATTCGAAGGCTTCGCGGAAATCAACATTTCCACTTTGAAGTCTACCATTGAGGACACTCGTGTCGTCAAGGATGCCTACGAGGTTGCTCTCCTGAGAAAGGCGAACGATATCTCGGCCAAGGCACACATTGCCGCCATTAAGGCCGCCAAGACCGCAACCAACGAGCGCGAGATCGAGGCCGCAATTATCGGTGCTTGCATTGCCAATGGATGCCGTGAACAATCCTATCACCCTATCGTCGCCGGCGGTGAGGGCGGTGCCACCCTCCACTACGTCAGAAACGACGTTGACCTTGTCGACCCTGCCACTGGCAAGCGGAAGAACAATGTCCTCATCGATGCTGGTGGCGAATATCAGACCTACTGTGCCGATATCACTCGTGTCATTCCTCTGGGTGGCCGATTCGCGCCAGAGACCCGCCAGATCTACGAGATTGTCCTCCAGATGCAGACTGAATGTATTGCGATGCTGAAGGAAGGCGTGTGCTGGGATGATGTCCACGCCTTAGCGCATCGCATTGCTATCCGTGGCCTGTTGAAGCTAGGCATCCTGCGTGGATCCGAGGAAGAATTATTCGAGAAGCGTGTCAGCGTGGCTTTCTTCCCTCACGGCCTCGGCCATTACCTTGGAATGGACACCCATGATACCGGTGGTAACCCCAAATATGATGATAAGGACACCATGTTCCGCTACCTGCGTGTCCGCGCCAACCTTCCGGCTGGCTCCGTGATCACCGTTGAGCCCGGCGTGAGATTATACCATCCCATCTTTGCTCTGTCAAAACTAATCCGTTTACTAGATCTATTTCTGCCGTTTCATCATTGACCCTGTTCTGAAGGCCCCAGAGACTGGCAAATACATCGATACCGAGGTACTGGAGCGGTACTGGAGCGTGGGAGGAGTGCGCATTGAGGACAACATCCACATCACCAAGGATGGTTCGGAGAATCTGACAACCGCCCCGAAGATTATCGAAGAGGTTGAGAGCCTGGCCTTGTAGATAAAGCATATATTTTGAGCAGTTTATTATAAGCAAAGCATGGCTAATATCTCATGAAATGGCCGTAGATCTGAAATGCTCGTTGGTGTTTGATTCATAGGGACAAAAAGGCCCAGTCAGGAGTCAGGTATAGGAAGCTTTTTGGGTATGCAAGTTGCGTGAGCCCCGAGCCCCATTATAGATCTCTTCTTCGCTTGCGCGCACTCCCCTTGATCTCGTCGGACGGTATCTGCTTCTCCTTCCGGTCCAGGATTAGAGTCAAGACATCGAAAGAGAATTCCGGCACCTCGAGACAGAGTTTCTTGAAGTTATCACCAATTTCATGGCGTAACGTATGGCTGTGGCTGGCCCAGTAGGAGGCAACTGGCTTTCGAATCGTGGTGTCTGAGGCGGGGATATTGGTGTAGACATAGCGAGCATACAGATGCTCTGCATGGGGCGAGCTCTTGACCTTATGGATCTTGCTATGGGCAAGACTCTTCAATGCTGGCAGCCCCAGCTTGTCGGCCAATGTGTAGACTCGCGCATGGCGGAGCAACTTCTCGGAGCCATCACCTACTGCAGGGTCTGTAGAAGACTCGGGCTGTGGCACGGTGTAATCGCGCGTGTATTGGAATTGTAAAAAGCAACCGAAAGCATCGACGTCCTCTTCCGGTAGTTTTATCCGTCGCTATAAACCAAAATTAATTTCTAGCCGAATGAGCTAGATTATCGACTCACTGGTCCCGATACTTCAAATTTTTCTACCAATGTCGCGAGCAACGGCGATTCTAGGAGGAGGGTTGGTGGGCAGTTAAAACCGTCTGCTTGTCGCCTTCTCCGACCACAATCTCAACAACCGGGGAGGTCAAGAAGCTGCAGGGAGGAGCCGAGGTCAATCCAAGCGACTAGTAACGCAATGTTTGGCCCCATTGAGCTTGAAGCAAGTGGACGGTGGAATGGGACAAGGAATGCGCTTACTCGAGGAAGTTGAAGCGTGCGTTCTTCTTCACCGGAGGCTCTGACTCTGGCTCAACGAGCTCAAGCTCAAGCCCTTGAGCATCCTGGAAGGTCGCATCCTGGGTTCCTCCCATCTCCACTTCGGTGGAATTGTGGTTTGCAGGCGCCGGGGCAGTCGCAGTCGCAGTCGCAGTCGCGGGGGGGTGAGCCGATTCAGGCGTTTCGCCAGGAATTTCCACCTGGGGCGTTGTAGGCATGTCCATAATATATGGAAATCCGCAATGGGTGAAGGTAAGTCTAAGGGGCCAAGAGAGCTCAGGAGGAGAAGCCACTGGCTATGGAGCTTATTACATACGTGACTTGACTGCATAAAAATCAAGAACTTTTAACTATTTTAGTACTTTTGGCTCTTGGGTTCTTGAAAAAATTCTTCTTGTTGTCGTATCCCAAAAATGTACTTGACATACTTTAAACTGTCACAAAGAGGGCAACTTGGCGCTTCAATACAAGCCCAAGTATACAACCAAATTTAGCAAATTTATTCTCCACAGCCCTCCCCACGTCATATGTTTACTGTTTTGCCACTAGGGCTGAACATCCGAACCACCCGAATGATGTGAAGACGTCGATCTACAAACTCTTTTTATGCGCACATCCATCATGAACCCAACCGATTTGAATGGACAACTAGCCTCAGCCCCAAGCTCGCCTAGCTCTCCCTCTTCAAGCTCGGATGACCTCGTTGATTCCACTCGACAAATTGTCTCGGTAAAGCTTCGGGGAACTGACAATGCTGGTCAATATCTGCTCACTGCAGAGGACGCGGAGCTCTTACGGGATATCCTCAAACATAACCTCTCCTTTGAAAAGTCAGGATCATCTCAGAAACCACGCTTCAGGTTCCGAGACTTGGAATTTACAAGACAACTCAGTACCTTTGACCGCCAGAATTTGACCTTCAGTTCATCTGAGTTCCATGGCTTCTTTGTGCTCTTCTGGATGGGGGTGGCCCTGATGCTGCTCAAGGTTGTGGCCAACAACTGGAGAATACATGGCACCATTTGGGGCAAGAACGAGATTATTCGCCTCATGTTCGCTAAGGACGTCTTGGTCCTCGGACTGACAGACTTGGTCTTATGTTGGTCTACGGTGTTCTGTCTGGTGGTCCAGCGAGCGGTATTCAAAGGGTACCTGCGTTGGAGTGGCTCTGGTTGGCTGATCCAAAATGTATGCTTCATAGTATACCTTCAGTTGCTTCTTTGCTGACTTGGTGATCTGTCAGATCTGGCAGACGACATATCTGGCTGCCATTACATGGTGGACATATCATCGGGATTGGCCATGGACACACACTGTCTTTACAGTGCTGCATTGCTTGACCATGCTGATGAAACAGCATAGTTATGCTGCTTACAACGGGTACCGTAAGTAGAAACAAAGAAGTTGCCGGTGACTGGATCTGACTTAACGAGAATAGTGTCGGAGTTGTACCGGAAACGAGAGATGCTGAAGACAAGTCTCTCCCAGTTGAACAATCTAAGCAGAAACAACGATTTTGTGGGAAAGGCGCATACCTCTGCCGTTGATACAGAGGTTGATGCCGAAATCACTGATCTCAAAAGAAATGATTTCCGGCGGCGGTCCTCCAACCTCAAGAACTATTCCCGTGACCCCGAGACCGACCAGCTCATATCTCTCGTCGAAACCACCGAGCACGGGGTATCTCTTCAACCAGATCAGGTGAAATCCCTGAAAGAGCTGCTAGAGCGAGAATTCGAAATCCTATCCGAGGGACTACAAGGCAGGTGTTCATTGACATCCAATTACTATCCGCGGAATTTGACCTTGAAGAACTTCTGCGACTTTATCACATTGCCCACGTTGGTATATGAGCTCGAATACCCGCGCACAGACAAGATTGATTGGGTTTATGTGGCAGAGAAGACCGCGGCCACATTCGGCATCATTGTGGTCATGATTGCTGTCTCTCAGTCGTGGATATATCCGGTGGTGATGTCCACTGTGCGAATGAAAGAGGAAGGGTTGACGGCGCAGCAGAGACTCCAGGAATTCCCCTGGGTTCTGAGCGACTTACTCTTCCCTTTCATGATGGAGTATCTGCTGGCATTCTATGTGATTTGGGAGTGTGTTGTAGGTACCACCGAGCTTATAGACCCCGATCTTTTGCTGACAGCCATAGCTTAACGCTTTAGCTGAAATCACCATGTTTGCTGACCGGGGATTCTATGCAGATTGGTGGAACTCGGTCTCTTGGGATCAGTTTGCACGAGATTGGAACCGCCCTGTCCACAACTTCTTGCTCCGGCATGTATACCACAGCTCCATCAGCGCCTACCGTCTGTCGCGAGTTTCTGCGAGTCGGATCACATTTTTCCTATCTGCGTGTGTGCATGAACTGATCATGCTGTGTATTTTTCGACGACTTCGGGGATATCTGCTAATTCTCCAAATGTCGCAACTGCCACTTGTTTCACTCAGCCGGACCCGCATGATGCGAGACCGGCAGTTGGTGGGAAACATATTTTTTTGGCTGGGAATCTTTACGGGACCGAGTCTTTTGTGCAGCTTGTACCTGATTATATGATTTTCATTAGAGCATGCCGCATTTCTCACCCTGGCAATTGGCTTTGAATCTGTTCTACTAGTCGACGTTGATATGGTATATATCTTCATCGTATATATACCTCTTTCCTTCCGTATCTATAAGAGGTAGACCGCTAACCCGTGTAATGTTGATATCGAGTAGCTCCAGAACCAAATAGCCAGGTAGAAGACCATCAAAACAAATATACGCATTGCACGTTCCCAGAGCCGCATCACTCGTATCCCCCCGCCTTTCCCCACTTTTGATCTTATATAACTCTCTCTCTCTCTCTTCCAACTACTGTCCTCTACTTATACATTCACATTCAAAATGACCTCTAACCCACCAGCTTCCTGTTGCACTGTTGGCGTCAAGCATGAAGGCGAGGCCAAGGGCGAATTCCAACAAATCGGCGATGGTATACACCTCTGCTTGAGCAACCCGATCTCAACCGCTAACTCTCGCAGTCGAGGTCTACATCTCACACCCCGCAGATCGTTCTACCCAGCGTGCTATTCTGCTACTCACTGATGTGATCGGCCATCGGTTCATTAATGCCCAGTTGATTGCAGATCAGCTAGCAGCAAATGGCTACTTTGTTGTCATGCCGGACCTGTTCCACGGCGATCCGGTGCTGTTGAACCGCCCGGCTGGTTTCGATCTGATGGCCTGGCTGAAGGGTCCCCCTGGCCATCCACCTAGCCGCGTGGAACCCGTGATACAGGCAGTTTTGAAGGAAATGAAGTCCAACTTGGGCTGTAAACGAGTCGGTGCTATCGGATATTGCTTTGGGGTATGATCTTTTTGCCCTAGGTCTGATGCCCAGCTGACGCACGAGTTGTACAGGCAAAGTATGCCGTCCGACTGCTTCAGCCTGGTCTTTGTGATGTTGCCTATATTGCTCACCCCAGTTTCGTCGAGGCAGAAGAGCTCCAGGCAATCAAGGGCCCTCTCTCTATTGCTGCTGCGGGTGAGTGTGATGTTAATGGGTTATTGTAGTAGATCAGACTAAGCTTACTGGAATTGCAGAGACCGATTCAATCTTCCCGACCTCGAAGCGCCATGAATCCGAGGAGATTCTGCTCAAAACCGGCCAGCCATATCAGATCAACTTATTCAGTGGTGTTGAGCATGGTTTCGCTGTCCGCGCAGACATCACCAAACCAACAATCCGCTTTGCCAAGGAAGCTGCTTTTATGCAAGCCACTGCTTGGTTCAACCAATATCTCTAGATCGTGACAAGTCATTTACAGCTTTGACGATTGTACAGTGAACTTTGGTAACAATAAAAACATTGACTTTAGACTCAAGGCACACCTTTGATTTGTCTCGTTTGGGTAGAAGATTTACATGTATTTGAGAACAGACAGGAGCGGAAGGATAAACAGGAATAGCCACGGAGCAAGGCACGCAATGCTGCGGGAATCGATGCCAAATCCGGAGCGAGCCATGATAAATAATCGCATCGCCGCTATTGTTTGGAGAAATTGGTCGCCTTACATTTTCTCGTGGGTGGCCATGAGAGAGCCTGTGTAAAATGTCAGAATCCGAACCAAAACCAGTCAAAGGGGTATATGAGGTCTTACCAATGAAAGTTGTGACCAAACGAGACCGGACTTGACAAATATCCTCGGGAACCAGCCAGATGGTGGCGCCCATCTTTCTGGCAATACTGATAGAAAGCTTGGCGTTGGCATAGGCCTCCTCGTCGGTCCGGCCGGGGGTCACCAGATCATAGTCCACATAGCTGCTCTTCATGCCATTGAGCACGTCCAAAAGGAAGACGCCAGTTCCAATAGACTTGTCCTTGAAGCTTCTTATCGTTGAAGACTTTCCGCCGCTGCTAGACATGTCGTTGGCCCAGCGAATCATCTCGGTGTCGGTGATTTCACGCTTGCCCAACCGTTGGGCCAGCGCAGAGAGTGTGTTAGTGATATCACGACGCATCAGCTGCCACACCAAGCCAAGTGTGAGAGTTCGCTGGCCATCAGTAATATCAGCGCCTTGGACACCAACAAGAGAGAACCCATTGTGTTTTCCAAGTTCAATCGAGTAGTTGGTGTTTTCCACCGCCTTGAATCGCATCATCTCCCCACCAGAGGCTGGGGGCTTGTTCACATGTCTCCAGTTGACGGTTCCAGGAATAACCTTGTCGTACGCCTGCAGCAGGATAGAGCCATCCCGAAGGTCATCAAACAGCGAGTTGACCGCCGGCTGCACATCCAAAGAGTTCAACCAGAGAGTGAAGACTCGTGCCTCTCGTTCACCTTCAGCGTCAAAGTCCTCGACCTCGAGCTTCTCCTCTTCGGTGATCGGATCCAGACCAGGGTGAGTGTTGAATAGGTTGGCCACGAAGGCAAGATTCAACTTGGGGTTTCCAGCAACCAACGAGGTCGGGGTAAGGAACTTTCGGCAATCAAGCTTTTCCGCGTTCTGAAGGACCTGCTCAGCCCGCTCGAGTAAGTCTCGAGTCTGGAGAGCGCCACGAGAGCAGACATCAGGAGCCAGTTGGTTGAGGAGAACCGTGTAATTTTCGCCGTCCTTCACGTCAGTAGAGAAGTTTGTCACGCTAGATTGAAAGGTATTAGCTGCGTGTTCTTTCTTGCCTAATATACGGCTAAGCCGATGTTAGCTTACCGTCTGTCCCATTTCGCGTTCTTGAGGTGATAGTTGAACCAGCGAAGGAGAATCTGTTCTGGGGGCAAGCGCAGGAACTGCTCAAGGGTCTCATCCTCCTCCAAAAGCCTGTAAAGCTCCGGGTGAAGCTTGATATCAATCTTTCCAAGAAGACCACGGCGAATGACCTGCCAAATAAGACCCAAAATCAGATGCTCGCGCACTTCGATGATATCTCCACTTCCAATGTTTACAACTGAGCACCCGATTCCCTTGGCGGAGTTGATGACGATATTGTTGTTTTCAGTCATGTGGAAGGCGTTCAGTTGCTTGATCTTCTTTCCAGCTTTGTTCAAAACACGCTCATCAATGGTGTCCGGCACGCTGTCGTTGATCAACTTTGCCAGAACTAAACCATCCTTGCACTTGTCAAACATCTCAAATGTATCGGTAGGGAAAGGCAGGAGGTTGCCAATATCCGGGTCTCCCGCAAGGACAGCATTGATGTGTCGCGTGAACTCGGTCCGTTCGTCCTCGTTGATCGTGTGTGTAACGTTGGAAGATGATCCTTGAACGTGAATACGTCCACCAACGCTGCCCTTGGAGACATGGTGAGAGGCGCCAGTGCCGGCACCGGCGCCAGCTCCTTGGATCACAGCCGTGGGGCTGGATACGCCGCGGGCGCCCTCTGCGGGTGCCGACCGAAGCTTCGAAACCAGCTATCGCAGCTTTAGCATTTGTTCGTTTCTTAGGGTTATACCATAGAGACGGATTTCCTTACATCGACATAGTCTTCCAGCTCCACGCGCCGGGAGCTGTCGAGTTCCACACCCTTTAGCGCTTGGCGCACCACGTCGTACGGCTGACGTTCGGATTGTTGGGCGGCTTTGATCGCAGTAGATTCATCAAGATAGCCGCGGTCATCAACATCCAGTCGGTTGAATGCATCCTGGAGCGAGAAGATATCCCCCTGGTCCAGCTGCGGGAATCGCCTGTAGCAAGCACACCCGGCTTCGTCAGCATATATTCCAAGGTTGTTACATCACACAGAGCGAGGTACATAGAGCACGGCAAGTCTTACTTCTGAAGCTTGAGCGCATTCATCTTGGTAAAAGAATGCGTCCCAGTAGGAGGTGGCGGGGTCCACGAGTTAACCCAGAGATCCGGACTTGGTTCGGCAGAAGAAAGGGGGATTCCCAGAACAGAACAATGGTTTCGTAACTATCAGAGAGATGGGAATGATCCGAAGAGTCCAGATCACAGCCGGAGAAGAGAATTGGGCAAAGTAATAGGGAGCAAAAGCCAACGTATACACGAACCGAGGGAGGCGGGGGGAGGTGAGATGAGCCACACTGTAACGCGTAATGAAAGGTAATCAAGCAGTACATGGCGCTACTAGTATTATTGTATTGCGGCCCAAGTATCTTTCCCGGTCTCGTATTCGTAATGGCAAATGACGTCGAACATCTCCAGGCTTCCAAGCCTCCAGGCTTCCTTTCTGTTCTTTTCTTCTCTCTGTGTTTTCTTTCTTTCTATGCTCTATTTTTTTCTTTTTTCCTATCCCCCAGGCTCCAGGATTCTTACTTGTCTACCTTGGAAGATATTAGAAGAGATTGTGAGAGATGGAGAGATAGAGAGAGCATCTGATCATTTATTAATAGCTTATATTTACGGGCCAAGATGTACAGAGTATCGAGTGCTGTAGCCTCATATCCTTGGAATTCTAGAACGTGCACGGAGGAATAATTGGTGTGTTCCGGATTACATCATGCGGATCACCAAAACAAAGATCAACTTTCACAGATTCTCTTTACATCTTGGCCCGGAACACCTTGCTAACGTTTCCATCTCATTATCCACGTTGATTCGATTCACTGCCCGGGTGTGCCTCCCCATGGAGCAAAAGTCATTCCTGGGGACACTATCCCCATGGAGTACCCCAAGGAGCACAACGCCGCAACCCGATCGTCAGGGCTCAGAGGTCCTGCAGCGGTCCCAAGGAGAGGACCATACAGTGACCCATAGGCATCGGTTAAGCCTGCGTCGTTATCCTCCTGATTGCCCTCCATTGAAAGTGAGGTGGTTCTACGCAGTGGACTCGCCCAAACGAAAGCCATCGCTGCTAGAACAAAAAAAGACCGACCAGAAGCCCTTGCCATTGCCGAAGAAGTTCATTCCTTTCCCTGGGAAAGATTCACAGTCTATTGAAATCACCTTCCAGCAACTATCGGAAATCGAAGACGCCCAGGAAGGTCATGCCGAGCAATCCACACAGCCTGTCTCGACCAAAGTTCCTGTGAACGAGGATTATCTATTCGATGTGGATGTGGAACAGCGAGAGCTGAGTCCCACCTATTGGATTGGCCCTGTTTACGAAGTTCGTCGTGGAACATGGTTCATCCAAGATGGGTCTGGATTAAAACCATGCGAAGAGAACCTTGCTACGCAGCTTGAAGAAGGCTATATCAAACTCCGTCCGTGGAAGACTGAGCCAATAAAGTCCGAGTCGCCGGATCAGGCTTCCACAATAATTGAACAAGATCTTTCTATTCGACAAGAGGATGCGCAGATTACCGCCCAATCCCCTCGGTCAGCCAACCCAGCCTCTACCAACAGGGGCATAGGAAATGATCCCAGCCAGTCCGCGACAGAGCCCCAACAATATCGTTTGTTTGGTGCTTATATGAACAAGATTGTTTCCTATCAAGATTCTTCGACTGCCTGGCTGATAAACGATGATATGATGTCACGATTCAGCACTACCGTCTATCAGAAACTAGGAGGTGTCCCCGGGGTGAAGTTGGTGCGTGGCTTCGAGCCCAAGAAGTCAAAGGAAACAGACAAGACTTCCGACCGGAAGGCCGACAAGATATCCTCTGTTCCAAAGTCCAACGAAAATTTTGGAGTGAACCCCGAAAATAATAAATCAGACATCCTGAAAGTGTCGCCTGTGGAATCAGTCGAAGGAGCCGAGAATTTCGAAAGAAGACCGAAGTCTACCTTGGAACGGCAAATGTCGTCCCTTGCTGGTGAACCGCAGAACCCTGCTGAACTCGAGGAGCAAGCTCGCAAGCAGGAAGAGCAAGAGATGGAGGATTCGAGGGAAGTTGACAATGAGGACAGAGAGCGTGAGGTTGACCATTTGGTCCTTGTCACCCATGGAATTGGCCAGCGGCTCGGGTTGCGACTTGAGAGCATTAACTTCATACATGATGTGAATGTGCTTCGCAAGACACTGAAGACTGTCTACAAAGCTTCGCCTGACCTGCAGGCATTAAACTCTGCGTTGCCTGACAGTGATAAGAATTGCCGTGTTCAGGTTCTTCCTGTGTGAGTTGCTCTCTATCTCCTCTTTGATCATATCAAAAGCCGAAATTCTTAGTCGGGCCAGCATTAAAGTCAATGGCTGCTATTCAAATATTCTTTCCTTTTTTTGGCGCTCATCCATACATTATATGCTAACAAGCATCCAGGTGCTGGCGACACAGGCTTGACTTTCCTTATAGGGGAGTTCGGCAGAACAGAAAAGAACAAGATCTTACCGACGCGGACACACTCGAAGATGATGCTTACCCAAGCCTGTCAGATATCACGCTAGAAAGTGTACCTGCTGTCCGAAATCTCATTTCAGACTTGGCAATGGATGTGCTCCTTTACCAGAGCCGATATTGTGAGCATATCTCCAATATTGTTAAACAGGAATGCAACCGAATCGTCCGGCTCTACAAGCAGCGGAACCCTTCTTTCAATGGGTCAGTCAGCCTCTGTGGTCATTCGCTAGGAAGTGCGATCCTGTTTGATATCCTGTGTCATCAACCAGGCGAGGTGGCCGACCCTGCAAAGCGAGAAAAGCCAAAGGCCCAAGAGACCGATGGATCAAACCATCTTAGTGGAACGAGTGCATTCGAATTTGAAACTGAAGAATTCTTCTGCTTGGGATCTCCCATTGCCCTCTTTCAAATGTTAAAGGGCAAAACGATAGGAGGATACTCTGCTTTAGCTCCTCGGAACCGGAAGAATGCTTTGGATGTTGAAATTGACGCCGGGGGGTTGAGGTCTTCAAAAAGGGATTCGCTTCCCAGTGCTGGGCTTGGGTTCAAGGAAAACCCTGCTATTGTTTCAGCACCGAAATGTCGAGATCTTTACAACATCTTTCACCCTTCTGACCCGGTGAGCTACCGAATTGAGCCTCTAATATCTCCAGCGATGGCAACCCTAAAACCTCAGCCTCTACCTTCGGTCAAAAAGAGCCTTTGGACAACCTCCGGGCAAAGCTTATCTATTCTTGGTACTCGAATGGGCCAAAGTGTGGGCTCCCTATGGACAAATTTCGCCTCGGGTGTTGCAAGCAGCTTGTTGAACCGCAGTTTGGGCCTGAACGGCGACGATCCATCAGCTGGTCGTGCCATTGGAAAACAAAGCGATGATAAATCCCATAAAAGGACACAGTCTGGCTCAGTTCAACATGGCCCGCACGAATCAGACGACCATTATCAAACATTGATTGAGTCTGATCTGGAAACACTCTACGATGGATTCCAGAAAAGCAGGAGTGATCGAAAACCACAGGCATCATCAACCGATCCTGATACCGATCCTGAAGATCAGGAGCGAAAACTGAAATTTGAAGATGCCAAAGTGCGCGCCTTGAATGCCAACGGCCGTGTTGATTACAGCGTGCAAGAGTAAGAGATTTCATTCCCATATTTTGACACAAACTAAACATTGCTTATAACAGGGGGGCATTTGATATCTCGCTGATTGCCAGTATTGCCAGTCATCTCACCTACTGGGGGGACGAGGATGTCAATCACTTTATGCTTTCTCAAATGCTTTCCAGACGATTTCGACACAGAAAGACGGGGAGGTAGACGTATGAGATCTCGCAAGTAGAAATTATGTACAAAGATAACAATTATCAATGTTTAATATACGAAATAAATCGTAAGATACCCAATATCAAGAGACCAAGATCCCCGAGGTACAGATGCAAGCGAGCCTATTTGGGACTAGCGTGGTCGGTTAGGTGAGCACAGCATTTTTCCATTCAAATTCTCTCTTTCTTTCTCTTTCATACCTCACTCCTTACTCTTTTATTTATTTATTTATTTTTTCACGAAGCGCACTGAAGTAAGCGGACTCAGAGGGCCAGAGAGCGCACTCGCCCTAACAGCTTCGTCTATGAATTTCTTCTTAACGAGGTTGAAGTTCATAATGCCGAGAAGGGTGTGATCCGAGCCCGCAAGTCAGCCGTCGCCAGCTCAATTCCTAGGACAACGTCGAGCCTTTTTCCGCTTGTGTCACTGACTGGGTCAGAGAGCTGTCCATTACCTCGCAGGGACCCAGCTTCATTGGAGACCGCCCGGCACTCATGTGAATCACCTCAAGATTGAAGGCCGAGCCAATGCGGTGGGGAAAGCCCTTGCTCTCACGACGGTGACAATCTCCAAAAAGACCGAAGCAGACCTGGATGAGCATTTTAAAGTAGACCCCTTGTAGTATTTCCACCCTTTAGCCGCAATCTCTTTACGTCTGGCATGAAGCACATGTTCTATGAATGCTCGGATTCACTCGGATAGCGGAGATCAACTCCTTTCTGTTTGCTTTAGATTCCTCGCGAACTCATGATCGCAAGGAAATGATGAATGGATACATATATTAGAAGCAATATAAATTATACGATTACGATGTTCGGCTGTTCGTTCTATTTCTGTTCTCGCACTGGCCACACGGGGTAGTGCCAAGGATTTGCTTCCCTTAGCTTCCACCTCCATCTATAAACCTCGCTGAACATGAGAGGTTTGTGTCTCTTTGGATAGCTCTGAATACTCGCTGACATATTCCAGCACAATGAGTCGCCTTAGCGATGATGTGGGCAACTCCAAACTTGATGTAGCCCCATCGACCGACGGAATCCCCACGAAACTCGATACGTCTGAACATATCTCAAATACGGCTTCTACGAAGGAACTCGTCAATTTCGCTCTCAACTTTCTCTCAACCTCTAGCAATGAAACCCTCCTGGGTGTCTTCGCTCTCCTTATACTTGTCACCTACGTTGTTCTGGGGCGAATTGGACTCGTCCTCATTGGAATTGTGCTAGGGGTGGTCCTTCACGCATCGTGGGACGGACCAGGCCCAGTCTCAGAAGGATCGCGTGCACCAAACAGGAGAAGAGAGCTTGCGCTAGAGGTATCCAGCAGACTTCTGGACTGGCCGAAGCGGGACGGTGCTTCGATAACCCAAGGCGACAATGATGGGTCTATGAGTGTAGCTGAGGATCTATCACCGGCAGACCTTGATTATGCCACATTTCAACCCGCCACCGCGAGTGCGCTGAAATCGCTCACGGATGCAGTCATAAGGGACTATGTTCAGTAAGCTTGGGTCCCTTCCCTTTCACGAGATCCCAGTAGCTTACCCAAAACAAAGATATTGGTATGAACCAATATTACCTTCCGAATCAACTTTCCCAGGTACATGCCGAAGAATCTTGACCCATTTTGTTACGTCTGTTTCACTGCACCTGTCACGCAAACGGACAGAGGATACTTTTTTGCAGTTCCTGACCAACTCTTCATCTATTGTCATTGTATTCCTTAATGAACTCGCTGCAGCATTTGCCGCTGGGGACTCCCACCCTATGGAGGCCCAGAAAACGGTGGACCGGTACCTTGAACAATTTCCGGACAGCAGCCTAGCCAATGTCTTGTCACAGAAACAGCAACATAAGAAACTCAACATGATTGCGGACGATATATTGTCAAACTTCCTGGATTCCAAGGCATATGATTGTCCAGCTGTGCGGGATTTTCTCCGCGAGATTTTTGCGGGTGTTATATTGGAGTCTACGGTGACCAGTCTCGCCCGTCCCGAGTTTATCAATGACTGGATTATCTATCTTCTGCAAGATGGTGAATCTGAGATTATGCACGCCATTGATGCAGGCGTAGAAGGCGCACGAAATCATGGCGCCCGTTCCCCCAAATCTTCGGATGCTTTACCCCCGGAGGCGATTTTAAACCCAATCTCCCAAAACAATCAGAGACAATCTATGCAGGCGGATAGAGCGACAGAAGAGGCGGTTCTCGAAGCAAAACGTCTCAGTGCCATGATTGCATCGCAGGATATACGAAGCCCAGAACCAACACCGGAAACCGATGGATCTTTTTCGAGTACTGAATCAGATTCAAATGCAACCCATAACATTGAAAACAATCAGGACCAAGGGGAAACTCTCACAGATCCATTGTTGAGGTCACAGCCACCCGCAAATCCAGAAAGGTCTGAGAGCACTCCCCATTCGCCTCAGTCCAGTGCGCAGGAAAATGCATCTGTGCCTTTGATCCTTCATGGCGCACAAGTCTTGGTAGATGATGACGGATCGAGGAATGAAAAAGGCCAAATCAAGTCACGGCCCACGTGGGATTATCTATTGCAGGTTGAGCCAGCGTCAACACGCTCGACTGGATGGATGGTTTTCCGGAAGTATGCGGACTTCCAGTCCCTTCATGAGATGCTGGAGACTGTTTCACGATTGAACCGGATTCAAAGTTTCTCGGATCGGTACCCCATGTTACCCTCTTGGAAAGGAAAAACAAGACAAACTCTCGCTCGGGACCTAGAAGGATATCTACATGATGCTATGAAACATGAAGCTCTTGCTGAGACAGATCGAATGCGCCGATTCTTGGAAAAGGATGCGGGATCCAGTGAAGCGGATTCCAAAAAGCCTGGGTTCTCTTTCCCCAGTCAGGCTGCATTTGAGAACATGGGCAAGGGTATGCTGGGTGCGCTATCAAATGCGCCCAAGGGAATGGCAGGAGGTGGAAAAGCTGTCTTTGACGGGGTGACCGGGGTATTTGGAGGCGCTGCCAACAATAAAAGACCAACTGCCACCGCCGAAATCCAGTTTCAACACCGGACAAGTCTTTCTCTTTCCGAAGCGAATGACGAAATTCCAGCCCCCATTGCTCCCAGTCGAACCAGCTTGTCCAAAGTCCGTCCCAGTTTTGGCGACGCTACGAGGACCTCAGAAAATGATGATGCTGCTGGTTCGCCCGCGTTATCATTATTTTCTAATGACTCCTTAGAGATCCAAAACCGCGAAGCTTCCAAATCGCCTTCGGCCAATAGTGCAGCTAGTGGCGTCGACCTGAGGGCCAATGAACAGGATGCATGGGCTCCAGAATTGACGCTCGTACCCTCTGAAAATAGAAAGTCACTTGACCCGACGAACGACCACCCAGATATCAACTCCAAGGAGGATCTCAATCAGACATCGTCACATCGCCGATCAGAGACCGAGCAGAGCAATCCAAGGACAGCTAAACCACGCAATCAGGGAAATCCCATCACAGCTGATGAGACACAAATAGCAGTAGAGCTGATATTCGCGGTCATCAATGAGCTGTACACCTTGTCATCTGCATGGAACATTCGGCGGACCCTCTTGAACGCTGCTAGGTCGTATATCCTGCGTCCTGGTAGTCCGACCTTGGAAACGATCCGTACTCTGTTACAGGACTCTATGATCAAGGGCCATACTTCGGATGAAGCCCTTGGGAATTACATTGCCAAGCTTCGTGAGAATGCGCTCCCAACAGAGACAGAACTGAAAGCTTGGCCCAGTCCACCCAGTGAGGAGGAGAAGGCCCGTCTACGAGATACTGCGCGCCGGTTGTTTGTGCAGCGAGGGATTCCCCAAGCATTGACCAGTGTCATGGGAGCAGCTGCTAGCCGGGAGGCATTGGAAAAAATATTTGACAGCCTTCAGGTGGAATCTGTCGCCCGGGGTTTCGTCTTTTCGATCTTGCTCCAGGGTTTGAGGGTATTGACCCTGTAGCCTTCACGCAATGTATTGATAAATGAATATTAATGGTCCACTTGGAGTTCCAATGGCGTGTTCCGAGACAAACAGACAAGAGAATCCAGAAACACTCAAAGTAACATTATTCCTCATCTATAGTCCCCACGTGACCCCGCGCGTTCGACGCGACTTAGAAGCTGTCCAGGTGATTTTCTTACTTCTTCTCCGCAACACATCTCTCGGCTCTCAACATGACATCCAGAAAGCGCTCCGAGTCAGACGCCGGGTTTGATGATGCAAGCAAAAAGAAGGCCAAGGTCAACACAGACACAAGCAAAACAGATTCCAATGGAGATCGCTACTGGGAGATATCTAAGATGCGCCGCGTTACTGTCTCCTCTTTTCGAGGAAAAACTATGGTGAACATCCGGGAATACTACGCGAAAGATGGACAGGAATTACCCGGCAAAAAGGTGAAGATGTCCACTCACACTCAACTGAGTTGATGTTGACTTTGTCTAGGGGATCTCACTCCCTATGGATCAATTTTCCGCTCTCATAACTCTTCTTCCTGAGATTGACCAGACACTAAAGGAGAGTGGTGAAATCCTGCCTCGGCCTACATATCGTGGAATCCCAAGTGAAGGCGGGGGACAGGATTCGGACAGCAATCGAAGCCCACCAAAGCAGAATATCGAGGCGACCAGTGACGAGGACGAAGGTGAATGAGGTTATGGGGGCATGAAGGCTAAGGAGAGACCAAAAAGGTATCGCTTGCTGGGGCTGGTCTGCCAAAGCGATCCCTCTAGTCCTTAAGTGTATCCTAACCACTAAGCTCATCACAATATGTCAAATATGATAGGACAAGGGGCCATAAATG